GCACTTGTTAAGGATTTAGGCGTAGACAGGGCCACTTTCTTAACATTTGTATGCCAAGAAAGTGTGATGACAAAGGAAGGTGTTTGTGGAGTCAGCAGTTTGGGATGGAATGAGAAGGTATAGGGTAGCCTGTTCACTAGACTCGATTCGTATTCCTCGACCACACCCTTTGCCCAACCCGTTAATTCAACTTTACTTAAGTCCTACCCCATTTATATAATTGCCAAGCCTCTTTTCAGCCTATTCCAGGCAGTATCAGGTTATAATCCACAGTAAGGACGATTTGTCTGGGGTTGTGCTTACGTCACGTGACTACACCGCCTAGCCTAACCCCTCTATATTTGACGACTGCAACTATCGTCAGTCCCTCTTCGGCTGCCAAACTTCCAACCATGGCTTCAGAAGAATCAGCACCACCAAAAACGGTCTTGGTGTTCAGCGCAAAATCACCCGAGGAGGCCGCTATTTTTGGCCTTCGAGGGAGTGACATCCAGAATCTCAGAGCTGAACCGGTCCCTGGCCCCCCCGCTACGCCCGATGAATGGGGGTTTACGAGCCCAACGGCAGATGGAATCTGCAAATACTGCCAACTCATGCTTCATCCAGATCCACCACAGCTTATCCAGCATCAGCCCAATGTCATGCACCTGATCAACTCAGGCGACACGTGCTCGACCTGCAAATGGCTGGAAATTAGCATACAGCGTGGTGCCGCCTCAGTGCTAGCTGAATTTCAGCGAGGCAACCCGGAGTTATGTGACGAGAACAACTTCTCAAGGCCTGTTACTGTCGAGTTGACCAAGCACGAGAAGTATATCATGGCAGTTGGTTGGGTTGGAGATAGGAAGCTCTACACGAATGGCGGAGTGCCTTTGACGCTATCTTCGCCATCTCGTCTTGGTATGTCATCATCGCGACTCAAGAAGATATATCTCATACGTTAAATAGGAAGTCTTGCTACTCGAAGATTCTGGATTCCTCACTATGAACTGGATGAATCAGAACCTTTTAAGCGGCAAGATACACTGAAGATGTGGCTGAAGGAATGCGAATCTCATGAACAGTGTATCAAATCTCTTCCTAATACCAAAGAAGCAAAACTTCCAACGCGCGTGCTAGACCTGACTGGAAGTTCGGACATCCCATCAGATCCCAATGACATCAAGATCAAACTACGAGAGACGGAGGAGGGAGAAACTGGAACCTATACGGCTTTGAGCTACTGCTGGGGTGCCAACCCAGATCTCCATTTCAAAACGACAAGTGAGAATCTACAAAAGCACAAAGAAGGAATCAATTTCTTCGACTTGCCTTTGACGCAAAGGGAAACTATCCTCGCGACACTCTATCTAGGAATCCGATATCTTTGGATCGATGGCTTGTGCATTATTCAAGACTCCCGCCAAGACTGGGAAGCCGAGTCTGTCAAGATGGGATCTGTTTATACGAACGCACATCTCACACTAGCAGCTACTTCATCCGATACCCCAGATATGGGTCTTCTTCTCCCCTTCCAAGGCGCCGAGTGTGTCAAGATCCACGGGGAGACGGTTAGTGTTCGGATGGAGACGCATCGGGAGCTTGATAGGATGTCGGAGCCTTTGAATACTAGAGGCTGGACACTTCAAGAAGCTGTGCTAGCATCGAGGATTGTCTGTTTTGGCAAGGAGCAGTGGCTTTGGAAATGTCCTAGCCGCTATGCTACGGAGGACGGACTGATCGATGGATCGCGAGACATTGATGGTGGTCTGATTCAGTGGGCTGATATAGTGCAGCAAGGTCCTGGAGAGGATGGAAAGAACTATCTGCGACATTGGTATCAGATGGTGACAAACTACTCAAATCGTGATCTGACTTACCAAAGCGACAAATGGAACGCTATCGCTGGCCTCACAGAAATGTTCATAAAGCAGACCGGCTATACTCACCTGGCAGGCATATGGGAAGAGGATATCGCAAATGGACTTGTGTGGGAAGCGAAAATGCGTGGGGTGATCCGTGAGCCAGGAAGCATCCCGTCATGGTCCTGGATGTCTGTGAAAGGCGGGATCAAGGGCTATGTACACACGACCCCCACACTCTCTATGATTGAGCTTTTAGAGAGTGATTTGCAGTGGAAAGAAACTCCACTTGCGTCCCCTCTGACAGTCGCTCGCTTGACAGTCAAAGGAAAGATCATCCAGGCAACATTGGGGGCACGCTCTGTTACACAGGAATCTCGGCACCACGTTCTTGCAGCCCCGGGAGGCGACGAAATCTTTGGAGAGGCGTTTCTGGATAGCAGAATTCCTGATGGGGCGGAGATGCCGACTGTGTCGTGCCTTTTTGTAATGGAAGTCCCTGAGAAGAAGGAATACTTTACGTTACTTCTCACAGAGTCATCAAATGATGAAGTAGGCAGCCAGGAGAAGGGTATGACAAGGCTTGGGATTGGAGTTTTCTGGACAAAGTCCAGATTTTACAGCAACAGGACTGAAGGCGACGTGATCTTGGAGAAGGCTTCTGAGGCTACAGTAGTGCTGGTGTAGAAGGAACAAATTGCATCGCGGTATTATTCCGTTTGTGAATACAGAGTACGTACCGAATCAGGCTCCGAGTTTGAGGAAACAATGAAATGTTGTAATCGCTGCCTGAAATGCGCATGTGCCCCGTAGTCATGCATTCTTTTAGGGTCGGTCCACTCGGGACCCTGTCTGGCTGAGAATTTGGGACGGCTGAGCCTGCTTCTCCGCAGATCCCTGTGCAACGTGCATAAGCTGAAAAATTTGATGTCATATCATGATCCGAGTAACGCTAGTAGATCAGACTTTTTAACAACCTTGGAATTTATCTATTTGGGAGAAATTTGCTGAACTCACAATCCAGAACCATAGACATGAATATTCACTTCTTAGCTTGACTTGTGAAAGAGCCTGCTCGAGCTGGACCCGAGAAAAAGAAAAGAGACTTGGATCGCATGGTACAACTAGGCGCCAAGCCCAATACTGTTCAGCGTGTCGGTTACACAGCATATGTGATGTTCGGAGGAAATGAGACATGTCGTATCTGTGTGTGGTGAAGCTGGCACTTGCTCATTAACCTCACCAATCACAGTAACTGGCTGAGACTCGCCATTGCATTTGTTTTCGCCCTTCTCATTGTACGGTGACAAGAGCCTTGTTTCCTGAATTACAAATACCCAGTGGGGAATCTACAAGAAGAAAAGAAAAGTCAGAGTAGGTCAGAGGACTGTGAGCAATACACTGAAACTTTACTCCCCTGATCCCCAGCTTATCTATCCAGCATGCGGCTACACGACTCACAGCTTGGAGACGCATACCAAGATAAGAAGAAGGAACATATTAGACGTCGCCTTGGGGATCAGGGTTGGAAAGGGTAAGTATCACTTCATGATAAAAACTAAGCAGCACTGAAAATTACAGGCCTACGGAGCAAGGGCCCTATTTGAAGTATGTCAAGAGTCTATCAAAGAGATGGCCGCAGCTAGAGCTTCTAAACGATTTCATGGAAGTTGGGACTGTGCCTACACGCTGGTGCATCTTCCCTGGAGAGGAAAAGGACGAGAACGAGAAGCCGCGATATACATATCCTGAGACTCGTTTGTGACCCGCCCTCTTTTGACATTTTAGTTTCTAACTCGATGTAGGAAAAGAAGCTGAACAACGTCGCCGGGCAACAAGAATGAATGTTGCTTTGCTTAAATTCCAGGAAGCAGGAAATCTAGTCCTTGACCAGTACCGTTTGGAAGATAACTCTACGGACGGTGATATTCAGACTGCCCACAAACAGTTACGAAAAGCTATTTACGATGCCAAGGAAGACCAATCAGTACACAACTGCAGTTTGTTTGTTGTGGAGGACCTTTCACGCGATGTGATTGAGATCTTGGGCTCAGGGTTGTCCATCGATCCACGGTTCTTCCGCGCTCACATCACAGACTATGTCTGGAACAATATTCGCGATCGATGGCGTGAGCCGTCAATACTTCAGATTGATGCCAAACGGCAGAGCTGGTTCCAGCTTCGCTTGATCCGCTCTCGCTATTTTGAGAATCAAAGCCAGCTAACGGAGGCCAAAAACCAAGTCAATAATTTTAATGTTATGCGACGCTTGGATGCAGACAGGAACCAAATCTTCTGGGATAAGGATCCAGATCCTACTATATGGGAAAGACTTAAAGCTGAAGCCATTCGAAATCAGAGTGAAGTGGATGAAAAACAGGATACAAGAGTGGATGCAAAAGTTGGACATATGCGCAGTCGTTCTACGTTCTGGTTGAACGAAAAGTCAACTATCGGTAAGCATGTTGATTCGTGCAAGGGAAGCCTTGCTAACTATAATCGAAAATCAGGTGTCCTTCTGCTTGAACCAACTCCAGAAGCTGGGTATCCTCTTTGGCGTGGATATCCTAACTGGGGCGAAATACCGAAATTTGGAGTCAACGAGGACTCATTTGATGACCTCCAGATTCCGTCATCTTCGAGATCCAACACTACAGGAAAGTCAATGAGCTGGTTTGAAGACTACATCTTATGGGCCAAGAAGACCGCCAACTTCGCAAAGCCCTTGGATGATGCTAATGAACAACTTGCCATTCCGATTCAGTGCTTGCTGCACTTGGTGTGTGGCGAGTGGCTCACGTTCTCTGACTATCTTAACGCCCGGCTCAACCAGATCGACTGGGGAATTGCGAACCCTTCATTCTTCCCTGATTCCGGAGGCACTGATCATCAAAAACAGAGTCTGAGGAAGCTTCACCTCTGGCGGCGATGGGTACCCCAATCACGAGATATGCTTCAAGCAACTATGAGCCAAGTCATTGATGACAAAGGGAGCAAAGTTGCCAAATACTTTGAGCTCTACAAAGCTGATTTGGAGATTATTAAGAAACGCTTAGAGGACTACGAAACACGGATCGACCGTCTCAGCACGGTTGTCAATTCGACGATCAGCCTTACTGATGCCAGCAACACATCAAGGCTCACCATACTGGCATCGTTCTTCATCCCACCGAGCCTGGTGGCCACATTGTTGTCCATGAACATGGATCCACTCATTGGACTTGGTAATGCGCTGAAATGGTGGGCGGTGGCGTCTGTCGTGGCTGTCACGATTCTTTTCGCTATAGGTTATCTGTTGAAGACCAGGAAGGCGGAAAGTTTGAAAAAGAACTTGTCAATCACGAAACTTGTTTCGTGGTTGGAAGGACGATGGAGGAGTAAGTCAGGGAATAGAACGGAAGACACAGTATGAGCACCGAGTGGTTGACTCTGTTAATACAAAGCATACACAACGATATTTCCCTTAGATTGGCTACATCTTTTCGTCATAGCTAGCAGACACTAAGGAAAGTTATGATGGACGATATTATCTAGTCCGCTATATTGAAGAAAACAAAGACTACCTGCTGTAAGACTAGCCGCTTCTGAGCTCCACCAGAATTGAGGCCTGCCATGCAAAAAACCTCGTATCATGCACGCCAAGCTGCAAAGAGGTAATTGAACAGCCAACATGCATCACTAACGGTGATATGCAGTGCATACAGATATGCAGATACAAACCCGACGAGTGGTAAATCAGTGCTTAGCTCGCTACCATACATGGTTCAATATCATCTTCGTCGTGACTTTAGGGAAGTCATTTTTCTTATGATATCATAGGACTGTGGTCATAAATTTCATTTCGCCAGCTGAATTGGCGTTGTCGACCTGGATTATGCCGGATGACGAATAGCAATGTTGAAGCCAGATTTTCTTGGGGATATCTAAATTTTGATTCTACGGGTAGTGAGCATATGAACGCCTTCAAGCAAGCCATTGGCAGAGTTTGAGTCGCGAACACATCCCCCACTACTAGTAGAAGCGATCCTGGTTCCATACCGTCAGGTTTCGCAGTACTAAATGGCCCAGTTATTGAAGAGAAAGCCGTTCTGCCACCTGAACTTAAGAAAAGATCAAGTATCGGCGTATTGGCTCCGCGGGGTAGTCACGATGGGACATAGAAAAGGGTAAGATGATTTAAATACCGGAGTAGACAAAAGAGGATGTTATGATGATTCCAATTGCTGAATAATTGCCATTGAATGATCGCAGTTCAGTTACTCTCGAAGGCTCTCGCAAGATCCCCAAGCACTAAAACGAATAGAAAAGTTAGTAAAGAGTGATCTAGTCCATTAACCTGCGGGAATTTCTCCGGGCTATCAGGCATCTCGATTACTAAGATAGATCCATGGATATTTTAGTAGACTTGAATGGTAATCTAGAAGCTCTGAGTAGCTAGAAATTCCGTACGAAGACTCGGTGGTTAAGATAAGGTTCAGCCTCAACGTTTATAGTTCAACTAAGAAAACATATCATTTTCGGTCTTGGCAGCGCTACTCTATTAGTCAAGCCTGTCGCATTCATCTCCATGGGATTATGCAGTAAAGCACTTATGCACTGAACTAATAAAATTTGGTGTATTGCCTAGATTTGCCTTGCGAGATATTAGTAGTATCACACAATAGTTGTTAGTGTTAGCGATCAGTATATTGCGTCGAGAATCTTTTGGAATCATGTGGTTTACCTCTATGTAGAGTGTAACCTGCCGGCTGAATCACCGTACAAGGATAATATTTTGACATTGGAGCAATCTTTTGGTTAGATTGATAAAGTTTGGGGGACAGATAAAATTTGAGCAAACGCAATATATGATTCTTGCTGTTCTATCGCCAATGGCTAATGATGTATGTCGCAACAGAGAGCAACCAAACGCGCTCATCGAGTATACTATTGGGCCAAACCAAACCCTGCCGGTGTGATGAAGACTCTTTGTTGGTGGTCTATGCACAGCGGCAAACTGCTTCTCAATCAGCACCGCCCTCAAAGTCAAGCAAGGTGCACCATGCACTGAAACAAATCGAGAGTGGCCCAAGCGTCGGCCAAGAGTCACTGCCGCCCTGCAAACATAAACAGCGCAAGAAATCAAAAGAGAGAGGACAAACAAATGAGGGAGACTGTATGGAAAAATATGGTTCTGTGGGGGGAATTACCTAGAGTTTATCTCAATCAGGAACCGCAGCTTGTTGCACGCCTAACGGTTGCATATGTCTACGTCTATAAGCCTCCAGACAATTATATGACCAGTCGGCGAAAAATCGACCAGTAGGAAAATAAAGTCTTAGTAACAGAAATCGTCGCGGGGAGTAGACAAAGTTATTGGCTCGGTCCGGCCTGATTTGAACGGGATTCATGGACCAACAAAGCGCGCAAACATTCAAACGGGGGATGATAGGCTGATCCACTAAAACGACAAATACTGGTCCTTGTTAGACTTTGCGAGCGAAGGATGACCCCAATCAAGGCAATCTTACGAGCAACCTAAAAACACCTTCCGGTGACTCAACCGGCAACAAACCTTGGTACTATCAGTTATAAGAGAGGATGTTGAGCCGGTCTCAGAACTGGATTTCGAACAGACTTGAATCATTCAACACCGACACTTCAGCTTTTCCATCCTCGCCACAATAACTATCCCGATTCACAATGTCTCCCGAAACCAAGCTCTACAGGCATCGCTGCACGGGTCGCTGTCCTGACAGGTGGTCCAAGTTCCCGACCAACGAAGAAGAATATGACGACACAGAAAATACCATCTCCAAGGATCCAATCGTTCACCGGCACGTTTTCAGTGACCATCAGTGGGTGACTGACTCTTTTACCATTAATAGTCCCGCCATGCAAGGAGTGCTCTCGACCGTCCTGGCAAAATACCAAGACCTTGATCTTGAGCTCGAGAAATGGACTTTCAAACCACCGTTCATGCCTCTGGTCCACCGGTGGGACCGTCTTCTGTCTCTCTGTGATGCTACAGACAAAGAGCCTGTACCAGAAGCTTCGACTCAACTCCTAGAATTCCTGACTCCGATCCTAGCCCCCAAGGTTGACGCACTTGTGAAGACGCGCAAGACTGGAAACGTCATGTTCGCGGACCTGTGGCAGATCTTTGCTCCACATGAATTTGTGATCACAAAATTCTACGGCGTCGATGCTGTATGCCGCGTTACGAAATACAAACTCGTGGAGCCAAGCTGCTCACCGCCGTACTGGGAGGTTTATCTGGAGTATCTTGACTGGAATGGTAATCGTTGTGGCTATTCGAACACCATGATTATCATCCCAGAATTCGCTGCCTATCGACGAGTCACCTCGCTACCTGCCTACCCCTTGTCTTTCCACAATTCCCCTTCCAAGATTCGACAGCAGATGATTGAACGAGGCCGAAAGTTTGAAACCCTGCGTGGCTATCATTTCCAAGCCTGTTCTGGAACAAAGATTTTATTGCCTCCTGGGAAATCAGAGGAGCGACCGGTAGGAAGACTCATGTGAGTTTGTTTATTAAGTTTAGCTAACTCGTGGCGCAGGTCTCTGGTCGGGTCATCGTTGACGCTCACGCTTACTACCTGACAAACGATATAGTGAAACCCGATCTCGCTTCCTTAATCGGGGACGACCAACCCAAGAAACAAGACGAGGATGAGAAATCAGATAAGAATAAATCTAAACGTCGTGGCTGTGATGGCTGGGGCTGCGACGATGGCTCCTGCGACTTCTGCCGCGACGAGGGCGAGGACGACAATGATGACACAGATACTTCCGAGGAACGCGATACACCGGTGGTGGAAGGTAATGCAGAAATGACGGTAAAAGCACCAAACGACAATGCAGGACGCTCTGAGACTCTTGAGGACCTCACTGATGACATGTGTCTTGTTGCGACACCGTGGTTGAAAGGCTTTGACCTCAAGACCAAGGAATGGGGTAAGTTGTCATCACTTCGATTTCGACTCACTTAAAAGCTGACCATGACAAAAAGCCCAGTTCTATGTGGATGACCTAACTCCTGTGGTGTGGAATGATGCCGCATTCAACCATCTAGTGCTTCCGGGCACAGAGAAGCAGCTTGCTTGGGAGTTTGTGGAGAACAAGACTCTCGCCAATAGCTTTGACGACTTTATCCAAGACAAGGGTAAGTTACCTCAATTAGCAAACTCGAGCAACATCTGACATTCGCAGGTCGCGGTATTATCATTCTCATGTTTGGACCACCTGGTGTAGGAAAGACCTATACCGCAGAAGCAGGTAAGTTGAATCTGCAAGCGGGGAGGTTTAGATTGGTTGACACATTATGCAGTTGCCGAGAAGGCGCGTGTGCCGCTGTACTCCATGAGCGCTGGAGATCTGGGAACCGTACCAAAGGAGGTCGAGCTTGCACTGGAGCGAGGACTCACTCTGTGTGGCCTCTGGAATGCTATGCTCCTCCTCGATGAAGCCGACGTTTTCCTCGGCGCTCGCACTGATAGCGACCTAGCTAGGAACGAGCTCGTGGCTGGTAAGCACCATAACTTCCTACTCTTCCTTCATTCGCATACTAACAAATATAGTATTCCTCACCAAGCTTGAGTACTACACAGGAGTCTGCTTCCTCACGACCAATCGAACAGCCAGCATCGACACAGCCTTCCAGTCCCGCGTGGATCTCTTCCTTCCATACAAGGACTTGACATTTGAAGCTCGGAAGAAGGTCTGGCAGAACTTCATCAATCGGGCTGGGGGCACTCAAGTTGAGATTCCAGACGAGGAGATGAACAAGCTGGCTGAGATGAAGCTGAATGGTCGTGAGATCAAGAACTTGATCAAGAGCGCTCATCTACTTGGTCTCAAGAATGGAGGTGTCATTCAGGTAGACCGGCTCTTGATGCTGGCTCAGAACCGGGTTGCTGCTCTTGGGGAGTTGAAGAACAACTGAGAAGGGCGATACATCGTGATACCCAGTCGAGTGAAAAGTAGAGAGCATTTTCTTCATCGCGATGGTGCATGAAAACAAAAATGGCAGTGCTTGGATAGATGAACTTCAGAGCACCAAGTATATCCATAGATAGATAGCCTTGATACACTGCAAATACCAAAATGTTGTAGTCAAAAGCCACACGGACACGAAGTTGTGATTTCTGGTCCCGTGAACCCCCAACGGGCAGGAATGGTATTCATCATTCATCTAGGCTTGCAACCATTGTTGGGGTCTATTTCTCTTGGCGCTGACAATTGTTACTCAAAGGTGATGGTATCTGTTCATTAGCATCCTGCTTGAAGCTTTCCATTCTTGCATCTTTATACTAAACCCCTTTCATCTTGTTCATTGAGATGTGATTGATGGCATTATTGTGACCGAAGGTTGCTAGCCGAGGTGATCGGGGACTAGGGCGCGTTGGTACCTTGGGTCTTGACATATGCAATGGAACCACCTCCCGCTTGACCGTAACCCCCAACCCCCAACTCCATTACCATATTAGACTAGCCAAAACTTTAGATGCGGAAAAGTAAATAGTCATTTGGTGTCGCCCTCGGGCTTTGGGTTCCTTGAGAAAATCCATGGGCGATGAAAAAGGACAGATCAAGTGAACATTACAACATTACGTATAGCATATCAAGTCAATTGATGAGATTCCTGTTCGCAATCGCAGAAGATCTCCTCAATAGATAAGATAAAGAATACGAAATCTTTCCGCAATTTAAGCATACCATTCCCTTCAGGGTTTTCCGTTCGTTAGCACTGCTACCTACCCCAATAAGGTCCGAGCCGATCATTGTTTATCTTTAACCGTAATTTGACGGCGAAACAAATTCCACCACTTATAAACACCCAGTGATCTGCGCCGTTTGATCAAGAGCCCCTCTCGTCTGATCATTGGTGCTAATTGTCAAGCCCGACAGGGGTTCCCCGCAAACACCCCGGAATTAAGCAGTACTTTAATCCTAACCGAGCTCGGGGTTCTTGATGTAAAGAGAAAAAAGCGCAGATGATCTTGAATACATATACCGTGCCAAAGACCATGTTTGTGCCATTGACATCTCAGTTCCTTCTCATTCTTGTTCAACTGCCAAGATGAAGCTGTCCTCGGTTCTCTGCGGTGTCTTTGCGACTCTCACTGTTGCGTTTCCCAAGGAATACCTCAGTCTCGCGACTTGGGGTGTTGAGGGTTATGCGAAGGACAATCCCATTGGCATTACCACTGGTGGCAAGGGTGGAAAGACTGTTACTGTTACTACCGCCGAGGAGCTTGTCGCTGCTGTCAAGGGTACTGAGCCTAAGATCGTGAAGCTCAAGGGCAAAGTTACTCTCCCTTCTCGCCTCAAAGTCGGATCCAACACTTCTCTCATTGGTGTTGGATTGACCGCTCATATCACTGGTGCTGGCGTCGATGTTTATCATGGAGACAATGTCATTCTGCAGAACTTGAAGATCACCCATATTTTGGATAATGATTGCATCACTATCCGAAACAGCACTCGCGTCTGGGTTGATCACAACGAGTTTTCTTCTGATATTAACCAAGGTCCTGATCACTACGTAAGTCCCGTGCAAGCTGCCAACTGCCAAGTGTTTAGCTGACCTCTTTTTCCAGGATGGACAAGTCGATATTATCCGTGCCTCGGACTGGATCACTGTCTCATGGAACTACTTCCACGACCACTGGAAGTCTTCCCTCGTTGGCAACGACGCTACCTTCCGCGACCTCGACTTCGGCCACCTCCACGTCACATACCATCACAACTACTGGCGCAACATGGGAACCCGTGGTCCCGCTGGTCGCTTTGGCCACCAGCATGTGTACAACAACCTCTACGAGGACTTCCTGTACCAAGCTATCCACAGTCGATCTGATAACCAGGTATGCCTGGCGCAGGCCAATTGTGAAACTTTGACTAATTGAAAAAGGTTCTTGTTGAGGGCAACGTTTTCCGAGGTAACACTAGTGAGGCTCTGAGCACTTACGGTCTTGTCATCCCCATGGATTCTCCCAACACTTGCACTTGTGGTGACGAGGAGCTTGATGGCTATGCGAACCTTGGAGCCAGTATGTATACTTCTTCTACCATTCAAGATCTTACGACTGACTATTAAACAGAGAACGATTGGGGTAAGGCTGGAGTTAACATTACACAGAAGGGTAACTTCTACAAGGCTGATTACAAGTACAAGTTGACTCCCCTCAAGCTTGTCCCTACCGTGGCCAAACTTGGAGCTGGTGTTGGTAGAATCTGGTAGTATGGTAGCTTAAGCCTCTTACCATTTACTTATTAATACGATTCATGCTGCTTTATTGCAGCCTTTTGGTTCTTGACTGATGTCCATGCCATGTTAAATATTTTGAACCTCAGATGTTATAAAAAGTCTTACCGGGTACTAGCAACGGGCCCCATGAGATGCTGGATAGATTTTACGAGGCTATGAAAGTAACCCTACAGGTATGGCTGAACGCTCATCTCTGAATGCAACATGGAATTTCAAAATTAGTTGCCAATTTTCAAATATTAATGACGGGTTTTCTCGCAGATAGATCTCAGTTACATAGATCGACGATCCGGGTTTCGTCTTACATTCTCCATATTGACTGCTGTGGTTATCGACTAGGACTCATTCTATAATCGCGCTCACTGGTCTTCCTTTCAATTCACTCAAACTTTTGCTATACTTCTTCGCACATAGTCGCTTCACAGAAGTATCCTTGCGATGTCTTGCAAAGCATGTACCTATAAGCATCAAACTACCATGGTTCTCCACTGAATGCACAATTTAGGTATCGGGGCATAATGTATACAAGAATCTCGCATCGTTAGTGGAGATATCGAATGACTGTGAACCCATTTCCAGTCAACGGAACCACCGCCCCCGCAAGCCGACCCCGGCCGTTCCGCCACCCACCTACCTCCGCTTCACGAGGCATCTCCATCACCCGGAACTAAGAAGCGCATTAACAACGGAGACCTGGACTCGACTCTTCAACGAAAATTGATCATGAGGGATGAATTTCTTGACCATACGGCGGTTCCTTCAAGAAATTCATCCCATGTCCACGGTTCTACCCCAGCTTCTATGCTGATCCCAAGTGCGGAGAAAATCTGGGGAAGCATGCAGCGGAATTATTGCCGACTCCAGACCAGGATATCGTGATGGACTATTTAAAGAAGAGTGGATAATGGCCTAAATCTTTTTCCCATCAGCAGATCAACTTCAACTCCTCATTCTTCTGCCTTTGCACTTCGAAATGGCAAATCTTAAATCCCTCATCTTTCTGGCTGCTGTTTCGGCGGTACGCGCCACTATCAGCCCTGGTAGTCTCGTCACTATCTCTACAGCTGTTGATGCCACCAGTGGAGCTGCCTGGTGGGACCCTCTGGATGAGTACGGCGGCTATGACTGGCTTGCTTATCTGAGAAACCCTCCTGGCGGTGCTATTGCTGATAATAATGTCATGGTCGCACGACGCTCTATCTCAGATGGCAGTGTCTCTCGCGACTGCGTCAGAGATTCAGACGGGGAGTGTGCTGTCTTTGCGGATGATCTGGGACATAACACTCCCAGTATCAGCGTTGACGGCGATGGATATGTCCATGTCTTTACAAGCATGCACAACGAGCCGTGGAAGTACTTCCGCTCGTCTCAGCCATACAGCAGCACTCTCGTCAACGCCAGCTCTGATATGCCCGATCAGACTGTCCTCATTACATACCCTGTTATCAAGCGTGATGCCGACGGAAACCTGTGGCTGATCGTCCGAGGGCAAGCATCTGGTGATGGCTCCGCAAGGGGTGGCTACTTCTATAAGTACACGACGGACAACAAGAAGTGGACCCGCGTGAGCCTCTGGGCGTACAACAAGGGCTACTCTGTATACCCCGATGATATCGCGTTTTCGTCTGATGGAGATGTTCATGTTCAGTGGGAATGGAGCAAGTATCCCGCGTCTGCTGTGCGCCACCAGGGAAGCTATGTCCGCTATCGCCCATCTACCAACTCCTTCACCTCCGCCTCTGGATCTACCGTTTCGACACCCATCACCCAAAACACCGCCGATATCGTGTATCAGCCTCTGACTTCAGGGGAGACATACAGCGGCGACATCAACGCTTCACCCGGACCAGCTTTCCAGAGTGCAAAGATGGCTCTATACGAACGCCCCGCTGGCACCGTTCACATCCAGAGCGCCTACCGCTTCAAGACTTCTACTAGCGGAACATGGCAAGTTCGTCGTGCTACAGCAACATATGGTACTTCTAACCCTTGGACGCGTGAGATCCTGTATAGCGATAGTGAGACCAGCGCTGGTATTGGTATCACTCATGACGGAACAACTGCTCGCATCTACTACAGTCGCTCTTCAGCCAGTGCCTTTGTGCTGGAGAATGTCGGTGGGGCTGGCTGGACTAATACTGCTATTGAACCAGCTGTTGGCAAGAAGGTGCAGCGTCTCCAGGCTTTGATGAGGAGTGATGGAACGGATGTTTTGTACTTGGGTGCCCCAACGAATGTTAACTCGACCACCGGAAGCTTGTATCTATTGACTGTTGGCGGCAGGACTTAGTAGCACGATGCCTGTCTAGCATGAGACGCTTGGATGTGATTTAGTGGAGTGGCCATAGCTGGGGCTTCATCTCGTCCCATATTAGTCAATATGACCCCTCTCATATCTCAAGGGTATTTCCATTCTATCTTACATATCAGCGTTCTGTTAAAAACGCCGACCATTACTGCCCAGCATTGTACGCATAGTCTCCATCCTCTGGATACTCTACTGGCATCTCAGGAGTGATATTACTAAAGTCTCCGTGAAAATTCAGGATACTATTGGTAAAGGACTCATCTGGCCTTCCTGTAGTGTTGAACTGGGACGTCGACATATCCTCCACGCCGAGTATTGGGGCCGATAAGTATGTCCAGAAATTGATCTCATCGGGTGCGACCGCTACATCTGAGAGATCGAAGAGTGGCCACGTATCCTCTGGCATCATTGATGATATGGTGTTGTGACTCTGCGCGTCACCAAAGAGTCCTTGTTGAGTGTTTGTTGATGTCTCAAAAGCTGCCCAATTGTCGCCCGTGGATTGCGTCCCGTATCCAGCTGTATTAGCTGCTGGTCGGTGTTGAGTCTCGTCGCCTATAGGAGGTCCATAGACCTGATTCATTTCCCTGTTACCCGTTTCTAGATTTATGTTTCGAGGACTAGTGTCTTGCATATTTGTATCACCTCCAACGGCAACCAAGCTCCGCTGCGACACGCCATTAGAATCCTGTCTTCGGAGCTGCTGTATGATGGAACGCCTTCGATCTCGTCGAGACTCCTCTGAGTTGTGATGTATTGGTAGTCGTTGGCCTCCTCCCGCTGATCTCATCATGTCCTTCTCGACAAGATCGATAGTAGCATCAGCCAATTTTGATAGTGCTTCACGAGCTCTCGCGATTCTCTCCCAACGCACTCCAAGTTTCTCAAGTATGCTCTTCCATTGAAACAAGCAGCTCTTGAACGAGATCCAGTCATCTTTTGCCTTGATTCGCGCCTGAGTATTCTTCCAGACGATGAACACGAGAGTGACTCCGCTCATGAATTGGAAATGCAGGTCTATCCAGGTGAAATCCATCAAACCTTCACTGATACGAAGGTATGATAGCTGAATAAGATCTTTGGCAGCTTCGTAGCATGAAAGCGTTTCAGACGTACTCAAACTTGGGCGAGAGGGCGATGGTCTGTAGAGGATGAGCAGCGCTGTACGATACCAGTAGCCCCACCAGTTGACGTTATGACCATCGGAGTCAGTAAGAGTCAGAGCCACTGAGTTCCAGCCTTTCAATCGCTGAGCCATCTCCTTAGTCCACTGGGTAAGGTCTGATTCCTCTTCGCTATGGCCTGTATCGTCTCGCCGTGCTGCATGTAGCTTGTGTACAATCTCACTTTCGAGTTGTTGCAGTTCAAGCCAGTGTAGTATCTGTAGCCGCTTACTCGGTACTAACGAGTGTCTCGGCAGATGAATGTCGACAGTAAAGTCGTCAAAAGTGAACGGTCGACCAAGAAGGATATTGAGTGTCCGATCAAAGCTGTATGTTACCCAGAATAGCCTTCGCTTCGTATCTGCTTCACTTATCCTCTCAATTTCTGTGTCGTTACCAGTTGAAGAAATAGCTATTGTGGTCTCTGAGTGATATCCAAGATCAATGCACATGCGCATGCAAAGACCGGAGATATACCAAACCGGCGCAGAAGATGAGTCGAGGATAGAGAGAAGCAACAACAACAGAAGGCATTGCACCGACTTTACATTCTTTGTCTGCATGATCAGACTGATATCCGCCATGGCATTGGCAGTGAAGCCTTTCGATAGTGTCGTACTCTCATTATGATCGTGGGACATGAACATGAGAGAGATGGCAAGCACCATGTTAAGCATGAATCGAGTCCACACCTCGCCAGATCCTGGTCGATTTTGACCATCTCTGTCGTTCTGGCGACCGTAAAATTCTGTCACGGCCTTGCTAAATTCCTGCTGGTTGAGAATAGGATACTGAACCTGATATTGGCTGAAGAATGTCTCGATGAGGCTATTAGCCGTCTCTCGCGATGGCAAGGCAATTATGGTACTACTACTGGAAGGTTCCTTTGGTCCGGTTCGAGCTTCTGTTGTTTCAGATGGCGATTCGAAGTTTGGATAGTTCTGCTGAGCGGACTCAAGAACTGATCGGACCAAGTACATTCCTAGACTTGTTTCAGCTCGAGTAACTATTATTAATCGTGCATTCATACCGCTTGAAGCTCCGATGAAATGAGCATGCCCCTCATCTCCAACACGAATCAAGTCTTGAGCAGGCTCATCGTCTGAGCGCAATGTCGAGGTAGGTGGCGACACTTCAATTGTCGCATCGTCAACCTCTTGGAGCTGAGCTTCTAGTCGCATGAGTTGAGCTTCCAGATCATGGATGTAGCTCCGAGGATGGGCGTCGCCCGAGCGGCCATCCGTGTAGTCACAGATGGAGCCTGAGTTTTGACATGGTTGGCATGCAGGAATCTCTATTTCAAGATCAGTGAGATGGATTGACGGAAGACGAATTGTAGAGAAGCTCACGTGTATCGCACCGCGCTTTGCGTTTGCGACAACGGTTACACGCGTTTATCGTCTATCAAATTGTGAGTAACAGAAGCGTAGAGAGAGAGTACCCATGAGTAGCTTACAAAGTACGGCGGGTCCATTGTCCGCCAAACGTGCCATCATCCTACATTGAATTGGTTTCTGACGCGACTGCTTCCCTGCAATGTCTCGTCTGGGTCACGATCAAAGTCGGAGCCGATCGCTTTGAGTAAAAGTGCGGAGTAAAGTTGGCGTGGAATTCATTCCGCCCCCGCTAACGAAGCAGGTGATCCTCTTCTCCACCAAACTCCTTACGTCGATCATACATACCCTGGAGTGATTTCCTTTGGAACGATAAGTCCATTTTCAGTGGACTGCTAATTACGGCCTCGGCTATAGTACACACTATTGAATTTCGAGATAAATTACCGATTGAGAGTCAATACAGCACATGGCCTAGGAATGGAATGCAAACCAGACCCAGAGATTTACAAAAACTCGGTTCTTGTTTCTATCACTGATGCAACTCACAAAAGTCAACGAACCAAATCAAAGAGCAGTGTATCAATTGCATTACTTGTCCTTGGAATTATCTTTTCTTGTTAATGTCATTTTACCTTTCAGCTACGCTCGTAATATTTATGGATATAGTGCCGGCGAGACAGACTCCATGCTGGTACGTAGTTGCTGGCAGTATTCATAGAGTGAGCCGGACTGAAACTTAAGAGGCTGATATGGAACTTGCGCCAAGTTCCTTAACATATGAAGCCTTATACGCGGACGATGTAGGCGACATCTCATGGTGGAGATTACTGAAAGCTTGAACCGAGGTAGCTACCTGTTTGTCGGCAGAAATTGTCTTTGGGCGCCCATACATCTTAAAGACCAACTGACGCTGCCATTACTAAGTTGATAACTGTCCTGCATTCACTAATATCAGCATTCGGCAAATGAAACGAGCAACAACAAGTGGAATGAGAAGGTTAAAGTATGTCCAAGATGTGACACTAAGATAAAATCATCAATTATTTAACTATGTAGATGTAGACATAATCCTCCATGTTAACCAGGAATAGCCCTCATACAGTCAAAGCTTTGCTCCAAAGGAATGAGCCCGAAGCTATCCTTAGAAGTTGTGTCCTCGACACGAGCCGAATTATACAGACTTATCCCGAATCTCAACTCTCTCCTCCTCGGCACCTAGCATCTGCTTAGGTGTAGCATCCTCCTCAGAGTGAACATTGAGTGATCCAAAGTGCGAATCTAGTTCCTCAAGAGTCTTGTTCTTGGTCTCGGGATAACAAGCATAGACAAGAATGGCGGCGAAGACGTTGAAGGCCATGAAGATGAAGTAGACTCGAGGTCCAATGCGGGAGACAGCAACGGGCCAAACCTGACCGACGATGATGGAACCGAGGGATGAGCCGGAGGAGGAGATGGCGAGACCCTTGGAGCGGCAGTTGGCGGGGAAGATCTCGGAGGCGTAGATCCAGGCGCAGGGACCAAAGCCCATACTGTCTGTGAAGCTGTTAACATGTTGGCTGCTTATTGGGTGATTTTATGACTTACATCCAACAGTGAAGAAGAAGATAAAGAAGATGTTGACGTAGTTTGCACTCTGGTTGTTCTGGCCGGGATAAGCAGTCTGCAGAGCACCATTGATCTGAATTGTGTCAGCAGCTGTAAGTCAGACTCATTCGACGAAACCCACCATCAGACAGAAGGCCATGATGATAGCACCAATACCAAGTGAATGTCTTCGACCCAGCTTATCAATGAAGAACATGGCCGCAACAGTGCAGACCACCTGCACAGTTCCATCGATGCCAGAAGCAAGGAGACTCAATTCTTCAGATGTACCAGCAGCGATAAAGTTAGTGGGGAGATAGTATCGAATACCAGCAGCACCGCTCATCTGCTGGAGGAAAGCGAGTGACCAAGCGCGCCAGAGTCGAGACCAGAGTGGCTTCTGCTGAATGAAGACACGGGCTGAGGTGATGGAGTTTTCTTGATGCCAAAGGATGTTCGCGCGGATCTCGTCAAGTTCGGGTTGGATTTCGGTGGCAGAGAGACCACGAAGCTTGCAGAGGGACTCGCTTGCGGCTTCGACTTGATCTGTTTCGACAAGCCATCGAGGGCTGATAAGAGTTAGCGGGGAGCGTGAAGGACAACTATGATAGATATACCTCTCAGGAATGAACAAGACACCACCGAGGAAGAGAAGAGCAGGGACGAACTGCATGGCGGTTGAGAGGCGCCATTCAAGGTCAATGCCATTGCCGTAGTCCCAGAACGAGTAGCCATAGCCAACCCAGAAAGCCATAGAGATACTGCAACAGTTAGCACTCTAGTCGCTCGATTCGAAGGTCAACTTACCCAGAGACAATTCCAACCTGATTAGCAGCAACGTAAAGACCTCTATGCTTTGCTGGCGAAATCTCACTGAGATAAAGCGGGACAGCGGTGGAAACAACACCCGTTCCAACACCAGCGATGATTCGTCCAATAACCATCATAGCCAGGTGAACAGCACCAGTCTGAATCGCAGCTCCGACGCAGAGGAGGCAGACACCACCGAAACCAGCCCATCGTCGACCGTACTTGTTGTTAATGGGACCCGCAATGAGGGCGAAAGAGGCGAATTGACCAGCGGCGAAGATAGCTGTGATGAGACCCTTTTCGCTGGATGAGGGATGGTCGAGGGCTTTGTTGAAGCCAGGGGACACGTAGATGGTACTCAGAATGCCGATATCGTATCTATAACCCGTTAGTCTCTGGCCACTGCGTGTTGTGGAGTCTCAACCTACCCCCAGAAGATGGAACCCATCGAAATGACGAAGATACTGAAGAAGAGCCAGCCGCTCATCTTGCCTTGCGCGGGCATTGTACCCAACTCGGTAGTCATCTTGATAACAAACAGTTCGAGATAATGATTGAACAAGCTGTGAAAACTCAAGTGTTCGTGCTGTTGAGTTTCCCCGCAAGAAAGTCTGGGGAAGGCATACTTTTTAATCCTTTGTCAAATGGCTCTAAATCTGGGGTAGCGAAGTCGGGTTCTGGGTTGAAACAGGGATTTCATGGTATGATTCCGCGTTGCGGGGTGCGCTAAAACAAGAGACGGAGCCTCCGCTTCCTTCTCCTCACTCACCACGGTGGTTCCGTCTGGAGCTCTTGGAATAAGCTATCCCGCTTTGTGATGAGTTCTAAAGTTTTGTTCATAATGAACTGACTACTAGATGCAGGTTCAAGCCTAACGATTTACGAAAATACTGATCATCACTTGACCCAATTCCTTGCCATGACCGTCAACGGCACCAACGGGGATTCCCCGTCACTCGGCGAACTTAAGCATATCTCGTCGACTCGCTTAACTCCCAGCCTCAGCATTCATACATTCTCTATACTTACAAACCAAAATTTCAGTCGGAGCTTCCGTCCCAGTCAGCACCTGACACTACAATTCCCGCCTGATCTAGATCCTGTGTCGGGACCCCAGAACTTATCGGACCAAGAAAGATGTCTTTCTTTCACACCTTTCCATTTGCAGTATGCTGAGGACGGAAGTATTGAGAGCATCTCGCTGATGGCGCGCAACGGCCGTGTTACCGGCTTGCTGGGACTCCCGAGGCCACATGGACCGTTGGTCGCTAAGATTGTTGAGGTCGGTGGCGGGTTCCCCTCTGAGATACTGAAACAAACTGGTCAAGCATTGTGCATTGCTGGTGGTACTGGGATCGCACCTTTCATCGCCATGGCGGCAGCCAAAAACCTCAACAGCAGCGCCAATGACCTGAAGCCCAGTCTCATTTCCAGCATTCGCGGGGATGACTTTGGAGTTATCGAGTATCTCTGGAACCACGAAATACTTTACCCGCGAGATTGGAATGTAGTTCGCATTTTCGTGACGCCAGGAGAAGAAACTGGTGGGATGGGTTCTGGCAAGTCACAGAGCTGGTGGCATCATCGCTTCAAGGAGCTCTTACATGACCATAGCGACAATGATGTATTCCGCCTTGGAAGAATGGAGAAGGATGATTTGGAAGGGTTCAGTAAAGATAGAGATGGCCCAGTGCTCTTTTGTGGGAGTAAGCAATTGGAGTGGCAAGTCAAAATGTGGTTTCTGGGAAAGAAGAATATCCATTGTACGGAAAGATAGTGAATAATTGTCATGGTGTTCCACTCTGAAATTGTTGAAGAAAATATAATACAACCCCAGAGCCCAGTATTATTATTCCCCATTTAGAACATGGCGCAAAAACGAATACAACACTCTGAATATCTCTGTACAGTTGAGAGCTTGTAAGATGTTTGATAGGTAGCAACGCAGTCCGAATTATGAGAAGTTTATGGATGGTAACGACAAACTAAGTCCATAGAAGATGACTCAAGACCGCATAAACCATAAACAATTCCATGTATAATATTGATTCCAAGCTATGTGTCATCTATTCGTAAGCCCGTACTTCAAAAACACCACCAAAAGCATTCTCATCACCATTCAGCTCCAAAACCTCAATACCAAGCTCTTTCAAAGTCCTGCTAGACTCAAGGACAACCTCCCGGCGCGATAAGTGATTCTCATCTTCAACATACATCTCTCTCTCTTCACCAGAGAGGTCCAACAGACGCCACTTCTTTACACAGAACGGAATGGTCCGCTCTGGATGACCTCTCAACACCGACTCGAGAGCGTGATCATAGTCTGTATCAAAGTGAACAACAACCTTGTTCACCTTCACAGGCGTATCCCAACCAATCTTGAGAATCTTCCTACTAAAGGAGTCGGCACGAGGAACCCAGCAGTTGGTTCTCTTGGTAGGACGGGGAACGCCATTGCGGATGTTCTCAACTCCCCAAGCCTTCAGAGGTGGATCCAGCGTCAAGGCGAGGTTATGGCCCATGGGTCTGCGAACTGGGGTCCAGCGCTCGAACTCATCGACTCCAACGTCACTAGGTGGACTCTGAGTACATTCGTGCTCAACAGTCATGAGAGCTGATACGCGTGTCTTTGTGGTACAGAGTGCCACTGAATCGTTCTGGAGGAAAGAGAGGAAGACATATTGAGTCTGAGGGTTCTCAACTTTGAAGTCGATAACAATATCATTCTGTCCTGGTACCAGGGGAAACTTGGTCTCAGCCAGGATGACCTCGGGCGTGTAGTTGTAAGGCTTCTGAGAACCTCGAAGCTGAACCGTCAATACCGTGTTGTCGACTGACATAGCCGTGACAGAGAGGGTAGGAACAGGTCCTTGTAAGAGGGGAAGCATCTGTGCAAGACTTCGGACCAGTACCTTGGGTGGACCATCGGGTGGAAGCTGCGATAGCTCAAAAGAAGATCCTTCAATCTTGGAGGCTGAGCGAACAAGATCTTCAGGGTCGTTGAGTTTGTAACCCGGAATGAACTGGCCAAACCGCATGAGCTCGCGTTGGAAGTTCTTCATGTTGTTCTTCACGAGCAACTCCATGGGGTCGACGCTCTGTTTCTTACATAGAGAAGCGGCGATACCCAAAGCGTTGGCGTTGGCTCCGCACGTTGCCATGACACGAGTAGATGCGAAGGCGACGTGGGATGCTGACATGATGCGGCCTCCGTACATGAGATTGGGAATCTCGGAGCACACCATTGAGGAGAATGGTATTTGGTAGACGCCTGCGAGTTTCAGTAAGAGGAGGCCTCTATTGGGTGATAAACTTACCCTTTGAGTGCCACTGAGTGCAGCCGTCGACTTCAGAGAAGACACCATCAGCGGGGTGGAGATCAAGAGACCAACCTCCAAAGGACACAGCATCAGTGTGATAGCGCTGCTCAACAATGTCTTGCTGCACCATAATAGTAGGCCCAACTGTAAATGTTAGACATGCTCGCACCAATCTCAAAGATCAACTCACTGAACCGCCTACTCTCCCTCTTCCCCGGAATAGTCCCAACCCACTCAAGCGTCAAATTCTCTGCCTCCGGAAACCTCCCCGAATTCTTAAAATAATCCCAAACTCCATACACAACCTTCCAAAGCTCCCACTTGATCTGCTCCGTATCATGAATAGTATCAAGTCTACCACCATACTCAATCCACCAAAGATTACAGCCCATCTCTTTAGTGCTAAAGCTCTTGAAGCGAGGAATTTCTCCTTCGACGTCTTTGAGAGCGTAGGCTGGTGCAACGTACTTGACGGGCTTGCCGGTGTCCTTGGTGTAGAAGTAGATGGAGTGGCCTAGAAGATGGCCGTACTCGGAGGATGGGGCGAAGAGTTCGTTGAATTCATCGCGCTTTTCGGCGCCGATTCTGAAGGGGGCGCCGGCGAGGAAGGAGAGTGTGCCGTCGCCGGTGCAGTCGATGAATTGTTGAGATTGGACGGTGAATTTGAGAGAAGATTGGGAGTTGAAAGCGCTGATGGAGCTGATTCGATCGCCATCTTTATCGCAACCAACAAGAGCTGTGTTGAGAAACAACTGAATATTCGGCTCCAGTCTCACTTTCTCTAGAAGAATCGTATCAAGAATTAGAGGATTGCCCTCAGGATTTCGATACAAGTTCTCGAGTAAAATCTCATCAACAAGACCGCCCTCTCTCGCATAGCGGTTGTTGTTAAACATATGCGACGTAGCTCCAAGGATCCATAATCGGACCTCACTGGAAGCATTGCCTCCGAGAACAGGTCTATCTTGGATGAGAATGACTGATACGCCATTTCTCGCTGCTGCTATGGCAGCGATAGTACCAGCTAGGCCTCCACCGCAGACACAGAGATCTGAGTTCAAGGTGCGGAGCTGAAAATCGCGGCTTTGTGTTGCTGGCTCGCGACGGAGGACAGGATCGTGGGATATCCTCGCAGGGGCCATGGTAGCGTAATCTGAGTGCTAACTGGCTAGTGGAGTGTTATAGTTTGTGTTCAAGTCAAGCTAGGATGATGAGAATGAGTAGATTACATGCTATGAAATAGTCTCTTTTATTACTCGCAATCGCGAAGCCTGATGATCACCCCCATGCAGCCGCCTGCAATAAGTTGTTAGCCAATCTGACGAGCAATACCAACGGAACCGCCGTTAGCTCATCAACTTGCCACTAACACTTTTGCGGTGGTTCCGTCAGACATTCCACTTTTTCCCCGCAACCGAACCCGGAGACTCACATCGGCATGAAGGAGCCGCCTTTGCTCGGTTATTCGATGCTCAGCTAAAGCCATTCAATGGAGAAATTGGTCCTCGCGGTATATCCCTGAGCCCGGTTGAGCATTCTTTTGTAGGAATTGGCAAGTCAGCACTGGACAGTGTTAGGTTAGTGACGACAAATTGGCATCCAATAAGCTGCAGAGCCCACCTTACCGCTCTGTAAAACCATGAGCGAGACTGGGGAAGATGTCCAAGGACGACCCTTACGGAATGTCACCTTACGAGTATCTCAAATCTTTTCGGCCTGTACTTTCTGTAAAGCTCGGAAGATCAAGGTACGTGTATCGTTATACACTCGGACCCGACCAAACCTCATTTTTTCTAGTGCAATGGTGCAACTCCAGCATGTGGTGGCTGCGTCAAGTTTGGCCGACAAGCAACATGTTCTCTCTCAACGGAATCTCCAAACCGTGGACGAGATTATCCAACTTATCTTCGACAAAAGATTGATGCTGCCCAACAACGCCTCAGCCAACACAACGCTAGACAGAACAATCTCACTTCGCCGTCAGATACTGAGCGGTCCAACCGGAATGAATCAGCAGAGACGCATCAACGGTCTATCATCGATTCACTCATAGCAGACATCGGAGCACTTCCCATCATAGCATGCTCATATCCATCAGCCGCAGAAGGGCCGACACTATCTTCACTTGTGCTCGCGACTGCAAGCACCAACCAACTCTCATCAGCCCTGCGCTTAACTCAAGCTGATGATGTTGCACCATGTTTACCCAAGGAGTCAACCGCCTTGAGCCTGGCAAAACATTACTTTGATCAGGTCTACCCACGAATACCTTTCTTCTCCATCCAGGGCTTCTGGGTGCAGTTCGAGCATGTCTTCTCCGGCGTTGATCCTCCTCGCGAGCGAGGACGAGACGGTCCACCCCAAGATCCGGCGAGTGTTCTGACGCCGAGTCAAGATGATCTTGATCGATCTTCGATAAGCCATGGGTATAGCTATTTTACTGTTCTATTGGTGCTAGCTATATCAGCTTCCAGTCTGTCACGAAGTGCCGATAGCGTTATATCTACCCAAGCCCAACGGCTCTTCCGTACAGCATTGACTTTTCGCGAGTCCGCAATCTTACCTAACACAATTATTGGTGTGCAATCAATTTTGTTTCTGATACAGTTCGCCACTCTCAACCCTTCGTTACTTGACGCCTGGTATCTCATCGGTGTCGGCATGCGCATGTGCGTTGATCTCGGGTTGCATCAAGATCCACGGCCTCTTGATTCGGTCACGACAAGTCTTTTGGAAACAAGACGCCGTCTTTGGTGGAGCATGTACTCTTTCGACAGGTCCATGAGTTTGGGATGTGGACGACCGACCGAGATATCTGACTCGGCTATCAACGTATCCCTGCCCACGTTCAGAATTGAGACATCAGCAACGGCTGTCGAGGTTCACGGCTATCTACAGCGCTATCGTGCATTGCAGATCCAGTCCGAGATATACAATCGCCTGAATAAGTCTCCAGGCTCTGAAACAGGTGATGCGCAATCAGTTCATGAACAACTCAGCAAGAAGTTGGGCGATTGGAAAGACTCAAGCTCACAGCTACCGAACAAGACTCTCATTGAGAGTGAATGGCTGATGGGGCGCATGTTACTTCTTAGACCATGTAGACTCTTAACTCAGCGCACTCATGACGAGCTTGGTGAACTATGGCAAGCAGCTGTTGGATTCATCACGATATATCGGCGGCTGGTGGAGTCTAACTCGATATTCTACGTGCAGATTGCCTGCGAGAAAGTATACTGGACTGGTCTTATGGCGTTCTACAGCTACTGGCAGCTCCGCACCAGGGTCAATCCAGATGCCAGTACAATGCGGCGACTCGATGTTTGGATGATCGTCAAGGATGTCATGTTCATCCTTCGGGCGTTGAGTGAGAGATGGGAACAGGGAAAACTTCTGTGTGGGCGGTTTGATGCCGTGAGTACTCGTGTTCTTGAGCTATCAGAAAACGATAGCGGAGATGGTTTGCCTGTTGAAATGCCTGTCGAGTTACAGAATTTGGAACAGTATACGAGCTTGACTGTTGTGTGGGCGTCGGGCGATAAAATGGATCGGAGGGATGAACATGCGCTGGACACAAACGAGCTGCGACATTTAGTATCTGAGATGTTATAATTGTAGAAGAACAAGAAAATCAATTCTGGTCCTACATGCTCAGGCGCGGCGATATGTTCACGCGGCTGAATCTCTGCAGGCAGGGATGAACTTTGCTGCCTATCTATGTGGAGTATCAGATCTTGGCCCTCCATCAAATAAAATATAACGGCTATTCATTCTTTTTAAGACAGAGAAGTAAGTTCCTCATTCATCATGTTCCTCCAAAGAAATTCATGAAGGCAAAGAATTGAAGAGTTTTATAGGTCATCTGAAGATGCATTTCCATTACATACTTCTATCTGCAACGATGACCTTACCAAAGTCCAAGACCTGATCATGTCCTCTATATCTCTACTACAAGATGACGATGGATACGGTACGCCACTCCACATCGCCGTTTTCTGCGATAATCTCGAGGCAGCAACACTTCTGCTAGATGCGGGTGCCGATCCCTTGGCTCCTGCAAGCGGTATGGATGATCGAGCTACTGCACTTACAATCGCTGGGAGGGAGGGCAAGCAGCCTTTTCTATACCAGCTCTTGAATCACATCAAGCCTCCCCAGGATTCTCACGTTTACAATGATCTTCAATATTGTTTCCTCGAGTCCGCAGCTTGGGGCCAAGTCGCCTGTGTCGCCAATCTCATGGACTGGTGGGACGGGTGGACCATTGAGACAAAGCAACTAGCTCTCAATTATGCCGCTCAGCGCTGGAAAGTTTGCGTTGCCGAATTTCTCATCTCAAAGGCCAAGTACGATCAAAAGGCATTGGATAGTGCGCTTGCTCGTGTGATAGACTACAAAGTCTATATGAACTCTACCAATGAATACCGTATCGATTACGAAGGTGTTGACTACTTCGAACAACAGCAGTTGACCAAGCTACTCATACGCACTGGAGCTAACCCCAACACCTCTCATTTCGGGATGCCTCTTGTCATTTATACTTCTCGGAACATAAACTTGATTGGTGCTTTGAGCGTGCTTCTGGAAAATGGAGCTGATCCCAATACGAAAGACGACAAGGGAAGAACCGCTTTGCATCATCTTGGCGACGCACAATCTGTCTACCAGGGAGTCCGCGCACGACGTGTTAACGAGAGCGGAATCTGGCTTCTTCTCGGCCACATAGCTTCCATTCTTCTGAAAGACCAATCTGGTACCAAGCCTATTCATGAAGCAGCATATGGAACGAACTTGAGGCTACTTCTGCTGCAGTTGTTTACTCTTCCCAGCGATGCAGAGAGGCATGAATCTATTCTAACTACTAACAAATATGGTACAACCCTTCTGCATTATGCAGCTGCTGGTGCCAAGCTCGATATCATCGAGTATCTCGTTTCCCAAGGCCTAGATGTTAATCGAACCAACGAAAACGGCTGGACACCATTGATGTGTGCTTTGGTGCCAATATCCTCTGGCTTCTCTGACGATGGTAAGGCAAAAGCTATATTGAATGCCATCCAAGCAGCTCAAATTCTGCTCGATCACGGAGCTGACCCACTGGTAACAACTGCCGAGGGCTGAACACCACTACACGCCCTCTCACTCTTCATCACTCGAGATATAAGCAGAAAGGTCTTGGCCGCAATCGTCGAGCTTATCTCCAGAGGCGTCGACCTTAACGCCCGTGCAATATTTCCAACCGCAACTGGTCGCAGCCATCCTCCCCCGCCTGCTTCGTACTGGGGATACACACTTCACCATATGATACAAGAGCCTGATAAGTATGGTATAGCACTGGTGAGACAAGGGTATACACCACTTCATTTTGCAGCTGCGAAAGGATCGGTAGGTATGGCGAAGGCTTTGTTGGCGAATGGGGCCGATCCATCGTGCCGAGACGCAACGGGGAACTCGGCTGCTAAGATAGCTAAGTATACGTGGCATCTTGAGGGCCGAGTGGAGACACGCGATGAGATGCTGAAGTTGCTGAAGGATGCTGTTGGCTCCAAGGAATTATCAGTCGCACAGAGATGAGTACGGTTGACCCCACAAAGAAGCATAGGTGCGAAGGCAACAGTTTTGTTCGGACCATGTATCTCCAGCTAGGTAAGATATCAAAAGGTAAACGAACTTTTGGCATGAATTCAATTTCTTTCTCATGACTTGAGCCTGAGCACGAGCGAACTACGTAAGAATTGAGCAGAGTGAACTTCAAAATGAACAGCTCAAGCGGTACGGTTAGGGGGAGAACGAGGAGATGTCCCAGTCTAGCATCCCATACCGTTCAGCAGTATGAGTCCCTGCCAGCAGAAAGGGCGCCGGTTACATCTCCAGTGGTGACGATGCCAACATTTCCTATACCAAACGGACCATCGGTGAAGCTTCCGACGCTGCCTGCTGGGGCAACCTGGTTGGGGACGTTGACTACCGACAAGCCTGGTCCGCTGATCATGGCATTGGCGAAATCAGTGGCACTGCCACTAGTGACAGTAAAACCAGTACATTTGGCAATGAGCGCCGCCAATGCCGCAAGTTGGCCGGCTGTCTTGATCTGCATGGCGAAAAGAAGGGAGCGATAACGCGAGGACGAACAATTACTAGGAAAGAGAGTGACCAGCAGGGAATGGCATAAATAATATCGATAAATTACAAGACATCTCTGTTTATTATTTACGATCTTGAACCATTTTGTCCATGTTTGTCTAATTGCCTTTGGTTACGGAGAAATGAACTATTTTCGATGGTATGTTTGTTGACCAATGTCATTGCTCAGATATGTTCCTCACATTAGCGTCTCGCCCAAGTTAGCGCTGCCTTAACATCTGAAGAGTCTAGCACGAAACGTGTTGCATGCTTAGCTCGACGCCCCAGAATTTCGAGATTACCTACTGAGGGACAACAAGTATCACTGAATTTATGTGACTGAGAAGCTGATTCTTGGTGTTGTTTGTCTATGATTTCGCATACAATCTCCCCTTCCTCTGTATTGACCTACAGAAGCACTGAAACAAATACTTCAAATTCTGAAACGCCGCGGTTAGATATGCGCTCAGTTATTCCTTTACTCTATACACAGATTACACTATAAGTCTATTCAGGTTTCCATTGTTCGTCAATATACAACTCTTATCACATCCTGGTGGTAGCAACTAGACAAGCTTAACGGTTTTGCTGTCCTCAACATTGGCCCAGTATTCCTCAAACGGAAGACAAAGTACACCAATTCGTTTACACTGATAAACAGCTCCAACATGTTCTGTGGCCTCCAAGATCATTGCAGCACCAATCACTCTCTTTTCTGTGGGAGTCCACATTGACGGGAGGAGTTTCGCTACCAAGATGCAAGTGTAACTCCTGTTGATGATTCCCAAGAAGTTCGTATAATCCAAATACGCGATGCGATCCTCAGGCTTTCTAATACCCTGGACAGCTTCACTCTTAATTGTTTTCCCTTCCTTATCGAAAGCGTCGGGACCAAAAACAAAGTCCAAGTTCAGATCATAGAGGTTGAATGACTTGGCGGGACCACTAATAGTGACACTCCCGTCTAGCATTTGGCCTGAAGTCTGAGGTCCGTTGGTCCTAACCGACCAGGACTCCACCTGAAGCGTTACATACTGATCTTTGTAGTAGGTCATGATCGGCAGAAATGTGATCGGATGAATAGGGGAGGCCCAACACCACGAGGGTCGATTTGCGCCACGCGATGGGTCAGCTTCAGGCTCTTGTCCTCCCCAGCCTATCCAAAGTAGTCCTTGGGGAATAGAGGACTCCCACATTCCCGCTATGTAATCTTGTGGAAAGCGACTTTGGATTCTCTTGGCGATACCTGACAGCGCGGGGAGCTTATCTCTATAAAAGGAAAAATTCGTTCCTGAATAAACCTCGACAAATTGGTACCATAGCGTTATAAGCTCATCTTGCTGCTGATTCTCCAAGTTTCTAAAAACAGAAACGAATTCTTCATTTCTGTAACCGTAGACTTTGGGGTCTGAGCTGTTGAGGCTCGCCTCCGTAGTTTTAAGTTCACGACATTCCCATAGTAAACAGCTGGCGCCAAAATGGAGTATCCTTTTCGACAGGACTCGCTCTTGTATAGCCCATCCTCTGGTAAGAAGAGGAACATTCTGAATACTTAGCTCCCATGAAGGGGACGCTGGCTGAACTTCAACGGGTGTAGTGCCACCAGAGATCTTATTGATCGTGAGCGTCACTGGTTGCGGATCGAAGCAGAGCGCAGGTCTATCAAGGAATAGTCCTTGTTGGGATGATATGGCACCACTTGCAGCGATCGTCAATGTGGCGTTTTCGTAGTATTGTCCGAACCTCGCCGCCTCGTAAGACCAGTCATCTTTGTGCCGCTGGTCATCTGGTCCTTCGCTCTGTAATATGCACAGAGCATCCACCCATAGATACTTATATCCGAGCTTTCTCGTAAAAATAATCGCGTCTTGTACAGTCTTCGCAAGATCATCCCATGGCAGATGTTTCGTCATGTCCACTAGATTGGTTGCCGTCGTTTTGGCGAAATCGTGACCGGAACCCCATGCATAGCTCAAAGCAAGATACTCCATCTCAGATGAAGGGTTTGTGATTATTATCTTTGGAGAAAGTGCCCCATCCTTGGAGCCAACGTGAATGAGTCTTGTTGGTATCGTCTTGATCAGGACTGGACCCCCAGGCTGCATGCCACATTTTTCATGGCTCGTTGAACAGTTCTGTATCCACCTTTTGGCCAACGTAATAGCCTTGTCAACGCCCTCAGCTGATGATAAATCTGCTATTGATCTTGTATTGCACGAGTCCCATTCCCCTATGCCTGCTTCTTTTTCCTCATGCGTGACAAGTGGCAGAGGGTGCCATCTACTGCGGTCTATGTCTGTTCCAATACCGCACCACACCTTTGGCTCTTTCGGATCTTGGTTGCACGGTGCTTGTCCTTCAGCTGTATCTTGTCTGTAATGACGGAGGACCTTGTATGCGGAAAGATGAATGGCCAATGTCTCACTCCAATTAGATTTTGAAATTTGGTAAGAAAAGGACTGATATATGATTTGGCACAGAGGACAGCCGTTCTGCGCTGATTCTTTGAGCTTGTAGACATTTGGTGCAATTGTGCGACGGGGAATCGACTCTTCAATGTCAATCTCAGCAAAGTCTTTTGCGAACTGCTTGCAGGTAGCACACAAATATTCAGTCATGATGCGCAACAGATAGTAACAATAGATATTTTGTGTTGAGCAATCAAGGCTGAAATTCCAACTTGACTGGCTTGAAATACCCCTCCAAAGAGCCTGCCCACGCTAGCCACGTGATGATGGCTACACGACATGCCCACTTACTACCGAATTGAAGCACGTCAGGCTGTGCTGCTAGGCGGACTGATAAAAATGCAATGTCGAAATAGAAAGACGACTTTAATTAGACTAGCTAGGATGTCATGTGTTGATTAAGAGGAAAATGACGTTGCTCGCTCGAGGCTGAGATGTCCTACTGAAGTGTATAGCAAATTACAAACTTGGACTTCAATTACCAACTAGAGCTAGACCTCGGATTGCCGATCACGGCTCTTTTGAAAAAGGCACCCTACCGGGAAGTCTTCTAGGGAGTTGATGTTCGATGGGAAAGAAACCACTGTTCGGCAAATTTGACTGCCTGAGGTAGCGAGAACAAATGGCAGTTTGCTGCACCAATTTGACCCTTGCTCACGCTGCTTTGCTCAACAAGATCCTTCCCCAGTTCCAAAAAGTCTTCCTCGTTCACACTGACGTCTGATACAGTCGCCCATTCTCTAGCTCCGTTGACTGAAATTGCGAATGAGATATCAGCCTTTGGTGAGTTGACTCTGTACTCTGCAAGATGAAAGCAGGTACAGCGATTGAATCCAACGCCGATGAGTAAAACCTTCGCGCTTAGCTCTTCCAAACGAGCTAGGGGACTCTTTTCCCCCAGCATACTGTCCAGACCATGTCCGTCTGTGATAAACGTCGCATTTGCACCAATTGCAGCAAACGAAGTGTGAGGGTGCATACTTCTCACTGCACCTGGCCATGTTCTGACTGTCTCAGCCAGCACGCCCATGCTCTCACTTCGAGTTGTTTTAGGGTCAAATGCAGGTCGAGTTTCGCGAATAGTCCGCCACCATTTCTCTGGGACGGGCGGGTTGACCCAATTCGACGGATCCGAGTTGCTGCTGGTGTGTGTTGGAACAACAAGAGTTCCGTCGGGTGTAAGGATGTCGAGAAGAGCTTGAGTAAGAGCCTCAGCCCCACCATTGATCCATCCTATGCTTTTAAGAGAGCAATGTACAAGAACTATATCTCCTGGTTTGAAGCCGAGATTCCGGAGGTCCTGAGTAAGAGAAGGCCTGGTGCATAGAGGCCCAGTAAGAGGTGGGGGCATCACAGCTACTACTCGGGGATTAGAAGATTGGCGGAAGTTGGAGATTGTCGAGAAAATGCAACAATAGTGACGAGGCAGAAATGAAGCCAGCGAAAAGAATGCACTGATTGAAGCCATAGGCTGGAAACTAGCTTATATGGATTTCCCACGCTAAACTATTCGCGCTCCCCCGCCCACTCGAATTTTCAGGACAGATTGTTCGCCGGCTGAGTCATAACAAATTGACGCAAAAGGCTCCAACTAGTCTAAGCAGAGACGGATAGGGGTTTATGACCTGACATTAGTAGATTGATAAGGAAGGATTTATTATAGATTATTTCATTATTGATAAATATTTTAATCCCCAGTAGGGACCATTAATGGTATTTTAACTTTCTCCATGTTAAGATGACCGAGACTGTAGACTAGGACTCTTTACCTCAAGGCACATCAGACGCAGAGTATTATTAGTATCAACGCCCCTGCCGCCGTGCTATATAGCTATATAGCTATATGCGCCCACAGAAAGTGTCGCCGATGACGCGCTTAAGACAGGATGAACCATCCAGGGTTTACAGGCTGATCAGCCACGCTGGGATTCATCCATGGCATCGCTTTTGTTGAAGCTCCAGGCCATTTGTCCCACCACATTGTCCGCCCACTCAAATCAGCCTCACCATCCAGGGCGGTCTGAATGCATCTGACCATCGAAGTATCCCCGTGACAAACATAGATCCTGTGATGATTCACAAATCCTGCTAGAAAGAAGCGCAATTCTTCGTTGCCCCATGTTTGGCTAATACACCTAAAGGGCATACCATTTGAAGGCATAGATTTAAATGTTGCTCGTCAAACGGATCCACTGCTTTATGGGGTTCTAGGGAAGCTGGACTAGGTTTATTGCAGCCGAAGGAAGTATAGAATGGAGACTTTTGACAAAGTGGTAAAGTCTCTAACCGGAGTTCCTAGGAGTTAGTCCTGAGGGGGATTCTTATAAAATCAACTTCCTCACAAATTGTTCTACATTGAGAGCGAGGGTGACAGAAGTGGCCGTGTTTAATTGGTCAACTAGCATCCGGTAGTTGACTAAGGTCGCTGGACGTTAATAACAAAATGCGTGCATAACACAAGCGAGTCTAGATATCGTAATAATCACTACATATGTCAGGCTGGAAATAGCAATATTTTGAGCAGATTACATACAGCACCATTTGGTCAATTTGTTTCGTAGCAATTGCAACGTCGCAATGAAACATTTCGTCTAATGCCAAGCCATTCGTGACGTGCATAGAAGACAGAACCTCGTATTAAAATGACGATCATCCGAGTTCCGTTGCGCCTATGCTCGCCTGAAATGACTTTCAATGCAAAGCAATTACCTATATCTCGGCCGAGAGACATCTTCAACGTCATTACGTTCCTGTCAAAGCGTCTTCTCCATGACATCACTGTGAACACTTCTAGGCCCTCGGCCCACGATTTCTTCACCCAAAATGGACAAGCGGTAACGCGATAAAAATAGTAGCCATTTATATCACAGGACCCTGAATCTTGCCAACTGTTTGGGCCTGGGCCCTTCTGGATTTAAATCCAGGCTATTGAGATGCTGTGTTCAATTGAGATAGGACCATAAAAAAATAGCCTGAATAAGGGGATGATCTGGCGGAAGGGCGATGCATGCGAAATGCCGAGTTCCGGACGGCACGTAGAATACGAGATTTGGGGATCGTGACCCTCAAGTTCTCCACAAACAGCAAGACTTGAGGGCGGATTTGTGAGGGATCGGCGAATGAGGCGATCGACATGCGCTCGAGCATTTTCTGGGGACAATCGCAATACAAAAAGGGAGGGATTCCTCAATGAAAGTTCATTCTTGATCTCAACAACAACTCAACCTCACTACCATTCAGTACTATAATTCCTCTCTCAACCTAAACAAAACACCAACCTTTTCTTCACAACCACCAAAATGAAGTTCTTCACCACCGCTCTTCTATCTGCCGCCGCCGTCTCTGGCTACTCCGTCTACGAGGTCAAGGACTTCACCGCCAGCTGCGTCCCTCACAGCACCTTCTGCAAGTCAGTACTATCCCATCTACTCTTCATAAAAACAAGTCCTAATATAGTTTCTCTAGCTATGAGTTCAAGGTGATCCAGTCCGGATCCATGGAGACCTGGAAGACCCCCGTTCACTGCTCCGCCCACGTCCAGTCCGCCAACTATCTCCTCCCTGATGTCAAGGATGCCAAGTGCAAGGACTCTTCTCGCACCTTCTCCGTCAAGCGCAGCAAGAAGGGCTTGACCTTCTCTGTCTCCCAGCCTGTCAGCCCAATCAGCAACACGGTTGGAAAGCATTTTATTCCCAACAAGCAGCTCTGGCAGTCCAAGGAGCCTAATGCTGAGATCCAGGCTTACAAGGGCCCTAAGGACTTCAAGCTCAACGCCGTTGAGTGACTGGGGATTTAGATCTTGTTGATTTGGGGACCACTTCATTTTTTATTTTTTTTCGTTTGAAAGATGCAGGCGTGTTGATTGTATTTGAACCATATTTTAGACTAGACTTTTAGGTATCTGAACATTCATCTTTCGATTCTCATTATTCGTAGTACGTTCCACAACAGTCTAGAACTTAAATTCTGCACAGTCTTCCATTCTGTGTCGGGATACCGTCAACTTGATCAGTGACGTACCATCGCTCGCTTCCAACACCCTGCAGTGCATAAAAGAGCCCATAGGGATCAACCTTTTCCTTGATGGACAAAAGCCTCTTATACTTGTCAGTGCCGTAGAACGATTGTTGGAAGTTGGGTTCCGTCACGTCCGCTTCAGAAGCATACGCGCCACCACCAGGAGTCACTTCCCTCCATGGTTTCATTCAGTCATTGGTCAATGTCTTACTCTTCTCAGCAACCAAATCCCAGGAACTACCCTCGGGATAGTCGATGACGGAGATCGCCCACATGGCTGCACCTCGCCATGCAGGGTTCACGGCATTGTCGGGGTAAGGTCCTGGACCTCCGGTGATGCCGAAGCCAATGATCTGCCCGCCCTTGTCCGAGAGACTCTTGAGGGCATCGAAAGTCTTGTTGAACTTTGCAGCATCTTTGAAGTTTTCACTTATTGTCTTGTTTAGCGAGCTATGTGAGCAGAGAGATGAAAAGAATACTTACGTAGGGAAGAGGCGACCGGCTGTCTTGGTCTTCGCACCGCCCACAACCTCACGGGGGAACCCAGCTGCCCAAGCACCGTAGTAGCTACTATGCTCCGACTCTGTAACATTGAACTCGATTCCAAGATCCTTCCACGTTTGGAAGAGAGGCGCAACGAGAGTCTTTAGCTCGGCGAGAGTATGGTTTGGTGCGAACCATGGGAAGAACGAGAAAGCTAGCAAATCACCCTCTCCGTGGGTCACAGCCCAGTACTCGTAATTTCCCGCAGCATTGAAAGTTGGAATGAGTTTCCAATATGCTCTCACTGCTCTCCAGAAAGTGTCGTATGAGACCGTATTACTGGTGGTGAAGGAGAAACTCATGATGGCAACCTCGATCTTGGGAAAGACTTTGACAGTGTATGAAGTCACGACGCCAAAGGTGCTTCCTCCACCACCGCAAAGAGCCCAAAACAGATCAGTGTTTTGGTGCTCGTTGGCAGTAACAAAGCGACCATCGGCAGTAACGACTTCAATACTCAGAACCTGTGTCATTTTAATCCAGCCCAACTCAACATTATGATAGGGGGTCAAACTACCTGATCCGCGCCCATACCGTAGAGCGGCGACATGGGAGAGTGTCCACCACCAGCTAAGAATCCACCAGCATAACCGACGCTCATACCTTCACCACCAACAGCAGTAATGCCAAACCTCTCAGCAGCTTCAGAGAACTCAGAGCCCATGACGCCAGCTCCTAACATTGCGTTTAAAATTTATATTTAATAGAAAACAGACAAGCCAATTCACAGTGACGAGCTATCCAGTCATGGCTACCAGCGCCAAATCCCGATAAATGTGCAAAAGAAATGAAGGAAAGTCCAAAGGGTTCATTAGAAAATGTTCACAATGGACCTTGAATATAGCTATAAGGTCTAGAAACGAGAATACCTAGTCTTCTGGTGTTTACCTTTTCGCACAGCTCTACATCCGCTCGCGGATGGCTTAGGAGAGGATTCACTGGGTACACTAGTGGCAGTTGGAAAGGCGCTGGTGATAACTTCGAAAGTGGTTGGCTTGGGAAGCCTAGAGGTGACCAATGTAGTCGCAATAATCGGGGCGGTCGTCTGGTCTTTGGCAATTGAGGATGTGACAGAGCCATTGTCAAGACCTCCATTACCGTCCTTGAACAGAGGAGGACCAGGAATGGTATAGTTCTTCAAAGTTGTGTAAGGGTTGAAGTAGATGCCCGGATCAGTGGGAGTGTAGAGCTTGGTGCCCAAGACGCCCTCGGGCTTGGCAGTTCCCGACCCTGTAATCTCGATATTGAAGCACTGAGGGTAGTTCTGTGCGCCGCCAATCCTGTTTGACCCGTGAACAGCGATTGTTTCGTGACGGAAGACATAGTTGCCGGCAGCTAGCGTAGAGGGTATCTTTGTCGTCCATGTTCGGTTGTTGTTGACCATCTTTCTAGCCGCCCACTCTTGAGTGTCAAAATCGATCCCCGCTTCGTCAATCTTTACCCACTTGAGGGTGGCCTTGTCGACAGCGGAGCAATCGCCGTTGCAGGGAGCCACATAGGTCATCATTGGGCCGAAATGAGCCCATTTAGTCCATTGAAAGTCGATGGTCCCGCCAGCGGCAACCTGAACAGTCAAATTGGCCGGCTTTCCATTCTTCTGGCAAATAATGTCCGGATGAGTATAGTTGTCTGGGGACACGAAGCCATTGTCGAGGTTCTCAGCAGACCATGCAGCCAAAGGAGGGAGAGCTTTGCCGTTCTTGGTATCATAGTAGTAGTTCATCAGGTAACCTTGGTGTTCAGCACCATCAGTCTTGAAGCTTGAGACAACGCCATGTGCAGCGGCGTTGCCGACAAAAGCAGCCAAGACGAAGGTGAAGTGCATTTTGACGAAGAAAGACAAATCGAAGAATGAGCTAAGTAAAACGGGAACGAGATAAGATAAAAAGAAACCGAATCTGAAAGAGAGGACGCGCAGTTAGCACCGGGCTTGAAGGGGCGGAAAGATGAACGCAGAGGGGAAGCTTGAAGGCAATTTCATGTTCTTTGCGAGGAGTTTATAATGCTAGATATCTTTAGAGATCTATTGCTACAAAATGTTAGACAACTGTAATTCGGAGCAAAGGGCTATGAGGGGCCCTAAGCTGAAACACTAAAGGTTTTACAAAACGGAGTCCAAGATAATCACCTGCTAATTTTCTAATACCTGGGCCCTTATTTTCTCGGCCTCCGCGGAGAGCGGAGGGGGATATGTGCTAAAATCACAGTGCTGGTGAAGCATCTTACATCCACTTATTTTACCAAATTGATGTATAAGAACGTGTTTCAGGTGTAAGTACTAGATTGGGCGTCTAACACTGCTCTCGTTGGCCATTCTACGACTCTTGTTAGACTTGAACCATGGGCTTCCGATAGCCCTGACTCCCTAAGCACTGAGGATGCAATGATTAGTCGCTCGCGGATAGTAATTTTCCACCAGACACAGCTCCCTCTCTCGACGAGCCAAGCCTCCGCCCTATGATAATTCTTTTTGAATGCCACCATTTTCTTCACAATTAAGCTATTGTACAATCTCACAGCGTGTGGGAGCATTTTGGAGACCCGAGCCATTCCTTCTCGTCAATCGCGTTTCGTGTTGAGCTGTCACTGGCTAGAGAGGGCGAAATTCGAGACACAGAGGGCTATACTTGTGAGTACATGTAATAAAAGCGAAGTGGCAAAGCCCTAGATTGCACAGCCTCTTAAAGTCTCTTGTTAAACTCGAGCATACAAGGCTGGTATACCAGATCGGGATCACGATCCTCTAACATAGTTGTTGGCACCCCAGATACCTCATCGTTAACTAACGGCTCTTCCAAGCTTGCAGTAAGTCCAGTCCGGGTCGTTGAACTCCCACTAAGCGAAAATTCAATCCGCTTATTTTCGGGAAAAGAGCACAAGAGACCCACAATGTGACAAAATGACAGGTGATCTCTGGGGTTTGTATTCGTAGCAGGGTAGTTTGCAGGGATCTGGATAGCCGCGACAGCGCTTAGCAAGCATAAAAGGGCAGTAGAAATGAATAAGTAATAGATATTGCGGGCGGGCACTGCGGGCACTGTTCCGCAAGATGTTTCTTCGTCTTTTTTTCAGGGCTGAGTTCAAATGAGCTGGGAAGTATACCACGACTAGCCGATATGGACATGAATTTTGTCCCAAGGATATGTATCACAGAAGAACATAGACTGAGATTTGCGCAAACTCACCAGGTGGCAGCGAAGAACAGATTATGGCACACGGCAAGATTCGTGAACAATCGCTTTAAGTTCATGTGAGCCCAAAGATTGCCTTCATACTTCGCCTGACACTAAATAGGTTGACATGAACTATGATCCACGTTCAGTAAAGGGGTCGCAACCAACAGGATAGGAGAACCGCATTAAATAGATTGTAAACATGCTAGTTATGAGAACTCAAATCCATCTACCATTGGCAATATATGCAGCACTTTGAATATCGACATTGGAACTTTTGTTGAGATAAGAGAATGAGACGCGATAACGTGGATTAATAATGCTCGCGGTCTGTCCCCGCTTAATTAGCACGTAATCGGCATATTTAGCACGCAAATCGCCAACTAATCAATGACGATTGCGGGGACCCCCAAGAATCTCAATCGCCCAATTCTTTTCCTCTTATCATCATTCATTTGAGGATATACAACATCTTCAAAACTTACAATGACGACTCAAGCTGATCCTGAGGGTCTTGCGCGAAGTACTGAGCAGACGCCGCTGCTAGCGGACCAGCCATCGCCGGAGATAAATGAAGCCGATAATGAGCCGGAAGCCGAGCCGACTCGGGAGAAAAGGCCGAAGAGCTGGTATGCTTGGAGGATATTCTGGGCTGTGCTTGCGATAGTGGTATTGGCGGTTTTTATCAAAGGCTGGATCGATGCAGATGAGACTGAGGTGAGATTGCAGTCTCCCTGAGAAATGCTTACTGACTTGTTTAGTTTGACCTCAAGAAAGCCCTCAAACGGGCTCTTGGCGGAGGACTCAGTGGCGCGGCAGCCATGGTGCTGCAAGTCTTACTACTGATGGTAGGCTATTGTCTCGAAAGTATGAATATGGTTCGGCTAACAGCGTGCAAAGCCTCTGCGAACAATTATGAACTATCAGTATCGCCACGGCACGTCCTTCACGGTTGCCACGCGGACTCTTTACACCGAGGGCGGAATTCGAAGATACTACCAAGGCATCGCACCTGCGTTGTTCCAAGGTTTGTGCTACTGTCCACGGCCTTGGAATACTGGTATCTGACTTACATAGGCCCAATCGCAAGATTCGGGGATACGGCTGCCAACGCTGGTATTCTCGCCTTGCTCCAATCAAACCCTTACCTCAAGAATCTTCCATCACCTATCAAGACCATTTTTGCCTCTCTATGGTAAATCGCAGCCCGCGTTCCTTTGCAGGAAGAAGCTTATTAGTTGCCAGTGCCGCTGCGTTCCGCATGATCCTCACTCCAATCGACACTTTGAAGACAACCCTCCAAGCTCAAGGTGCCCGTGGAACAGCCCTTTTGCGACGACGTATCAAATCGAACGGAATTGGCAGCTTGTGGTGGGGAGCTTTCGCTACCGCTGCTGCTACTTTTGTCGGCCATTATCCTTGGTTCGCTACGGTAAGTCCAAATTCAAATTTGAAAGACAAGAAATTGACGTGTTGCAGTACAACTACTTGTCCGAGGTCATTACTGAGCCCCCCAGACATCCTCTGTTCTGGTGGTTGCTCCGTCTCGCCTTCATCGGCTTCTGCGCTTCAATCGTCTCCGATTCCATCTCCAACTCATTGAGAGTTGTCAAGACCTATCGACAAGTCAATGACACCAAGGTTTCGTATGGTAAGGCCACCTATCTCACGAGCAGAAGCCAAAGTCAAGAACTGACATCATCATGTTTTAGCCGAAGCTGCACGCGCTGTGGTCATCCAAGACGGGGTTATCGGCCTCCTTGGACGTGGACTCAAGACTCGCATTTTGGCCAACGGCCTACAGGGCATTCTGTTCTCTATTCTCTGGAAGTTATTCCTCGATCTGTAAGTAGTCCTTGAATCACGTTGTTGGCTGACTACTAACACTCTAGTAGGTGGGAAAAGAAGACCTAAGTGTAACGGGCCAGGCCGATATCAATAAAGGTCTCGGCTCATCTGTTAAGCAAAGATATTTATGAAGGATACAACTCAATAGATTCTAAGATGGTTTTGCATGTTTTCTCATTATAGCCAGTCATATTGTAGCAACTCTGTCTCCGCATAGGTTTTAAGCAGCTAGACACTAAATTATTGAAATTTCCTCCAACACCTCAAGCCCTGTCCGCATCCTGTGTCGTTCCCTTTCAAAGGGCGACTGGGGACTTTGGCCATCTATCGCAACGACCTCACTGATGAGTTTGTATCCTTTCTCAGTAGAACGGAGTACATAAGGACAGGATGTGCCCATGAGCAGCCAGATTTCATCACCCAGTTCAGCTTCATTCCGGCATTGGGGGCGACCCCCACCATCTAAGATGAAGCGCTTGCCCCCAAAACTCGGGAGCTCCTTGCAGAATGTTTCCAAGATACCGAAGCGTAGCGCCTTTACAATTAGAACAGTGTTCTGACCGCCATCAGTACTCCTACCAAATCGGATGGAACCAATGGCATCTCGTCTGATCTGAGTGGTGATGCTAGCGAGTGGAAAGTTCTCCGAGTGTCCGAAAACAGAGAGTGTTGAAACAGTCGAGGAAGTCCAATCAGGCACCCATGATGGTAATTGGCATGAGGGTGCCTTGGCAAGTTGAGGCGCGTGTAAGAGTATGCTGAGATCTCCCTCGAAAAGAATTATCTTGACTGCACTATCGATCAGTACGTGTGAGAGAGTATTAGACTTGGAATAATTGGGCGTGATGTTGTATCCTGGGTGAGCAAGTCCCAGTAGGGAAAAGATCTTATCTCGGGGGTCAGTGGCCTTGGAATGACGAGCATCCAGGACCAACTTCTTAAAATCCATATTGCACTCTATCGGACCATTTCCCAACAATGTCTTTTGAAGAAGTAAGAACCGAGCAACATGACAAGTCTCCAGAGTGCGATAGTGTCGGTTGGTGAGAGTTTTCATTTCGTTCTTGAGCTCGCTTCTCGATGGTGAAAGTTCAGGAAAAAACTTCTCGGGGTGATGGGGGTTGGTGACTAGATCTGAATGACAGATGGCTTGGAGCCACGACAATTCGGAAAAGTCGCGGGCTTCCTTGTGATATAAGAAGACTGCAGTTTGGGAACAAGCAAACTCTTGACGAATCCAAGCCCGGCTCCACCATGGACATTCAAGTAGATCGTAAAAGGCATTCCAACCTTTGACATACTCTACCATCGTAATAGTGTAGGAATATTCAGCAGTATACTGATATACATCTCGCTCCGAAAACCAAGAAAACGCGTTTGGGCAACGCTTGTCTTGTCGGTCTGTCGAGAGGCAAATAAACGTTCCATGAGAATTTAAATAGATGTCTCGCATGAATGCTACCTGGTGCGATCTTTCTGAATTACTGTGCTGATTGATGCATATCTGGTCAATCCAAAGAATGCAGTCGTCCTCAGAATACTTGGTAGTGCTCCAATATGCCAGTGTCTCTTGAAGAGCACAGTCTAGATTGGCAAAGACATTGAACTCGAGCCCTTGTAAGATCATAGGTCTGGTGTTTTTGGCGCTACCTGCGCAGTAGGATATTGTGTGATATTTGCCGCTGATGTCTGCGAGCTTCTGTGGTGGGAGAAGATTGCCGTGGATCAAATCACTTCCAGGTTTCTTGAATACGTGGACTAATCTGATCTCGTGCTCAAGATAATTGAGATCATGATAAGAATATTTCGTCAAGAAATGCTCATTTGTCGGAGTTGCGAATATTTCTTGTGAAGGAGGCAAGTCATTGGTACTTGTATCCTTCGAGACCTCGTTTTTTGGAAGTTCCTTACTTGTTCCCAGGTTCGACATGGTTACTATCGAGTTCTGATAGAGAGGAAGAAAGTTGAATGAGCCGGTGTGGTGGTTAAGTGATGGTATTGAGCAAGAAATGAGGCTGGGGGGGCAGTGCCGCCACCAAAGAATACGCCTTTACTAAAAGCTACAGGTAATTCTTCAACTCGAATAAGCACTGGAGTATGACGACCAGGGAATAGTGGGGAAAGTTTGCCGCCCTTGATTACTACAGGATGGCTGAGTTATGAACGCTTTGTTCCACTTTCCAATAGCCATCTCAAAGATGAAGGTCTGCTGATTGGGCATCAAAGTGCTGTCAGCCGCAGTACTTGGGCAGTAATCGAGTAGCGTCGTTGTTTGTCATTTCAGGCACGGAGCGCAAATAAACCTAGAATACTATATATTTTAAATGCAATTAATTAAGAGTGTATATTACAATCAATAGATAATGTCAATCCCCATAGCTAGATCTCTATTTCGTAATCGAGATCTTGTGACAGTTGACTGCAAAGCCAACCAACAAGTGTTAGCTTTGACTTTGAGTTCGATTTCCATTTATTCCCTATATCAAAGGCTGAAATATATCTGGCCGCTAGGTATAAACTGGCCAAACACGGAACCACATCCCATAAGAGCCGAGTCGGCACGAGAGGTATCTGGAAACCGTAACAGGCTTGCTGAAGGTTGTGTCTCTGATATCTCGGACTCAAGGTCCATTATAGTGGTGAAATCGAACTTCGTCCCGCTGATGACCTTGGCAGAGATTCGAGCAATGACATTATCATCAGGTGACCACATTTCCATACGTGTATCTGACAGACTTTGGTTCTGTGGCATTGGCAAGAACTCAGATGATCCGGTATCGGATGACCCGCTATAAGTAAGGCTTCCTGGGTTATTGCCAAGAGAGTTAGCCATATGCGGCCGCCTGTGGCTAGGAGCTGTGGGTGTTGGACTACAGGCCAGGAGCTGGGAAGCGATCGGAGGCTCTTCAGGCGCCGCTATGGAATCCTCCATCGCCCAATTGGATTTCACTGCCGATGATGAGATATGCTCCTCCTTATTGACATCCCTTAGGCCCACTTCGTGCCCAAGATCATTGAATACTAATGCTTGACCTTCATCTTTCAGGTCAAGTTTAGGAGACCCCAGTGTGACGAGTCTTACATCTCGAGAATACTGTATAATGTCGGAGAACAGCGTCTGCGCGGTTATCATAAGTGCATATGGCTCGCGTTCGAACACCGCTATGATTGAGCCGCATAGCCTACCCGAGTCTCGTAGGACAACCCAAGAACCGGATGTGCCACGACCTGAAATATATGGCCAGTGATTAGCTAACTATCCTTCCAAGACTTCATTCCAAGGATCACTCACCCAAAGGTGCAGTCAGACGAATTTTACGTGTCCATATGGTCGTGCTCCCAACAGAAAAGGGCAATTTCGCTGGTTGCAGGAAACCTGCTGAGCCTTCGATTCCATTACCCAGCAAGACAAGTATTTCGTGCTCGTTCGCCGCCAGCCAAGAGTCAGGACACATATTCGATACATTCTTTCGTCCATTAAAATTGTAAATGTTGTCGTTGTGGCCTAAAGGAACACCAAACTCCTGTCGAGATACAAGAGCAAAGTCGGCAGGTATCGGGCCAGTTGAAATACTGACGAGTTTCAAATACGGTTCTTCGGGCGAAAGGGGGACCTCGGCTTGTTGTATGAAATTGATCATTCCTGATAGGGTTACTGGAACCCAACTGCCGACCTTTTCAAGACCGATATAGCCGAGATCAGAAATGGGGTCTGGACTGTTGGTATCGTTCTCCACGAGCTCGCACTCATCGCTACTTGCTTTTCCGTCATCATCCTCTGAACAGGAGTTCGAATCAGAGCTTTGAGGAGTGCTTTGTAGATCGTTCCCGTCCATCGGGGTCACCTCGTCCGTGTTTTGCAAGAAGTAAAGGAGCATAGTGTGTCCAGAGGTCACCCCAGCCGCGAGTGAGGCATTGATGACCAGTACGCCTCCGATGCGGGATACTTCCTGATAAACTATTCGCCCATCTTTAACAATGGTAGTTAAACAGACCTCACCACATTCGTAAGGCATACTGACGGTCCACCAGGTAACATGGGTATGTAAACTTGCGCCATGTGATAACTCGATGCCCTTTGTCAAGCTCAAACGTTCTAACGGCACAGAAGCTGGGCCGTTTGCTGACCTTAAGCCACCTTCAGCGAAGGTTAATGCATACTGGACCGAATCAAGTCCGAGTTTCCGAACTTCCTTTTGAAGCCTTTTCCAAACAGTACTGCTTCGAATGGCTTCATCGGTACTCCTTATCCAAATGCTTGGTTTTATGATAATTCGCTGCTCGTTGGGCAGGTGAACACCAGCAAGTCGTAGCTCGACGGTCCATGGTGTTGTTGCAAGTGACCTTCTCCATATCTTATTCCATATTCTGTTGAACTCCGGTGCAAGCTTCTCCCACGTTTCTGAGGCTTGTTCGAATAGGTGTTTGTATTGAGATTGCTCGGGCCAATGATGATTGGAGTACCAGACGTTCTTGGCCGAACAACAGATGCCCCTGGCCGTAGTTGGAAGTGAAAAGCGGGATTTATCAAATTCCAGTTCTAGAAAGCAGGGTTGCACCAAAAGACGGCCAGGTAGTTGGCATGTTGTTATCTGTGACGGACTTGTTGGTGGTGTAGTGAATAATTCGGTCTCGGATGAAGTAGATGTCATTCTTAGCATAGCACGGAGACATTTTGTGTTTTTTTTGTCGACAAAGCCTGTGATGCAAGGAAGGTTGGAAGAAGGCAAATCGAGTGTGAACAATAATCCGCGCGGGGGATGGGGATTCTCAGCCGCAGCAAGGATGACCAGAGAGCCTAGCAAGACAACACCACCCTGTTATTGGTTGAAACCCCGGTTCATCATGCAAGCCACGGTCACGCTGGAATTCGTACAGCACAAAAGAGTGGCCGAGACCAGTTTTGCCTGCATAAAGTGGCATGTGGCTTGTCAAGGCAGACTGGCTGGATACGGCGATGAGAGGGAGCCCAAGGCCTAGAAACAGCGGTTCGCGTCTCAGTTGTCTGTTGCAGTATTGTCTAGGGCCATTATCTCTCTCGTCATCTTTCATTTTTGAATCGATTCTGCAAAGTAATTCACGTTCAATCGCATTCGTTACCTTTATAGCTTGCGAAAGCTTTGGCCGAATAGGGCGATGCTGGCCAGCGGCACTGACCTCACAACACAACTTGGACAAAATGTCTTTACGGCAGCTGAAAAGCGACGGGAAATATGGGATTCTCAATCAAATATGGCCACGCATGACTCGAAACGACTTTGATACCTATATGGATCTATACGACAGATACTTCTTATTCTTGGAGGAGCAAATGGAGTTAATTGAACGGAAGTCAATTCTTTACTCGACGAAATCCATCGAAGAACTTGCATCAATTATCGATCGAATTCGGCAATATCCTCATAAACCAAAGTCCGAGGTGTTCGAAAACTCATCAGAAGAAACTATGAGATCAGCCGATATGGCCATAAGGATCTGGCTAATGATCCACATCCAACATTCATCATCTGCATCAATAGGTTCTTGGTGGTGGCCGAAAACCATGCCATTGAATCTACTGTTGCAAAATTGGTCTACGCCGAGCAAAAAGCAAGATCGCAAAAGTCGACACATTTCCCAAAGCTTCTCTATTGCGAACCTAGCTCACTACTACGGTTTCCAAGTAAAATGGACAAGTGATCTGGCCCAGCATCTGAGCATCGACTGGGAGTATAAACAAATTACAATCTTTGAGCACGTCATTTGCTTGCGAAATCACCTTGCATACCCCGACGACTGTCCACTTCCGAAGAAATTCGTGGGAGAGGCAATTGATACGATCAAACTGCTTTTTCCAGACGACAAGGACACGAAAGCATTCTTATCGAGAGATGGAAGAAAGTTCCTCAAGATTCCCTTTGGGCGTGAGCGTTCATTATCACTTGGAGACTTCTCATATTGGGAAACAGAGATCTCACAGCTATTGGACGTCTGGGAGCAAGGCCCCAGCGGTTGGTCTCAGCTACGACTGCGGCCTGACCGGAGTAACTTCTTGGAGTACTCTACGTTCTGGGCTGCAGCAGTGGTCTTGCTGCTCACTGTTATCAGCATCGTGTTTGGCGTGGCTGGCTTGGTACTCGCTAAGAAAGCATTGGATGTTAGCGTTAAGTCACTTGATGTATCGGTCAAGTCGTATGAGTTGTCTTTGGCTATTGCATGCGCTGAAGCGAACGCGACTGAGACTTTACCTGCTTTTTGTAAATAGCGTCTTGGGCATATATTTAGCGATATTAATTGATTCAACATGCACTGCATAGACAGGACTGTCACTATAGGCAGAGCCTGTGAGTCTATCATCAGTGATGTATAATCGTTCAATTCGAGGGCCGTTGCTGTAGCGCATGTTTGAGCTGTGTGGAAACTGGTATAATACTTCTACTCAAGATGTCTCTTGAACCAAGACACTGCCTGGTTGAACGCTTGCTCCTTGGCAAACAATTGCCTCTTATCTTTCATGTCTCCCTTGACAGCGAAGCCATGATGAACTCCAGAGAACAGATTGATCTGGAAGTCCTGCTTTGACTGGGACAGGATGCCTTCACTCTCATGGCGTTTCTCTACTGTGAAAAGATCATCGAGCTCTGCGGCTGCGATGGACAGAGGGCCAGTGATGGCAGACAACTCCTCTGACTCGACGAATGATGGATGGGCGATGAATCCAGCGTTGATACCATCCTTGTAGTGACGAATGAGGTGCTATGAGTGAGTTGTTAGCTGTCTGAAAATCTTCACGCTTGCGTATGTAACGAACTTTGGCTCCTAAGCAGTATCCAACGGCAGCGATCTGGGTAATGCCAATGCTCTTTAGGTACTCAATACCAGACACGACGATGGGATCCACAGCTTCCGCCGTGTGGGGATTCTTTCCATCAGAGCCCTCACCTAGCCACTTCATAATGTCGAATCCCTCAGGCATCTCCAAAGGCACCGGATCCCCATTGAAGGTGTCAATAACTAGGCATGTATAGCCCTCAGCAGCGAAAGCATCAGCCATAAGTTTGCTGTTTTGCCAGATACCAAAGATGTCTGGGAGGTAAAGAACAGCCTGCTTGGGCTCCTTGGAGGACTTTGCTAGATATCCAGTGACATTGCCGACTTTGACAATATCTCCCTTAGGAGTTCCCCTAAAACGTCTTAGTTGATAACTTCACCAAGTGGAATTATTGAGAGTGACTTACTCATGGAGATTGGCGATAGTGCAGCACGCAGCAGGAGGATGAGAAGCCATTTTCGATATCGTTTCAGTTGATGGAGTCACGTCGTTGAGGATCACAATTACCACGATAAGATATGGAACACTACCGCATGCATAAATACGATAATTTCCCCAATTCTAATCAGTTACTTGACAACAACTAGTCTCATGATCAAGTTAGTTCAGCTTGGACCTTGACTATAAACGGAATGGTCCGTGATCCGTTCCGAAGGCCGGAAGGTGGGTCAATGGCATTCCGGGGTCGGCAATTGTTCAGCAGATGATAAGTAAAGAGCCGATAAGATGATGTAGCCACATCATTTATAAGAAATACTGTCATCAAATAGATTCTAGACCAAGTAACTGATTATCATATTCTTCAATTCGCATTATACCCACTCAATCAATATGGCTACAGACGCTCTCCACGATGTCCGTCCTATGTTTGAGCTCCACGGACGAAACTACATCGTCACCGGTGGAGCTCAAGGCATTGGTTTCGCATGCACGCGAGCCATTTGCGAAATGGGCGGTAATGTGGCTGTGTTAGACATCCAGAAAGAACCTACTGCCGAGTTCAACACGTTGAGTGAGAAGTTCTCTGCCAAGACTGTTTACATCCAAACGGATGTTACGTCACAGGAGAGCATCAATGCGGCTTTCGACAAGGTGCTGAAGGAGTTTGAGACCATTGACGGTGTTGTACCCGCTGCGGGTATCGCTATTGATAAGCCGTTCCTGGAACAGACTTGGGAGGAGTTTACCCGTATTCAGGACATCAATGTAAGTTATCCGGTCTGCCAAGATGGATTTGACTAACAGGGATAGGTCCGGGGAACGTTCTTCGTGGCTCAACTTGCGGCCCGCCAGATGGTCAAGCAAGGTACAGGCGGAAGCATGGTCCTCCTCGCCTCTCAATCCGCACACATCGGGCTTCCCGGCTACCGCATGGCGGCATACAACGCCTCCAAGGGCGGTATCCTCATGCTCTCCAAAGCCTTGGCTGTTGAGCTAGCACCAAAGGGTATCAGGGTGAACACGATCTCACCAGGATTTGTGGACTCTGAGATGACGAGGACTGTTCGTGAGCTTAAGAGTAAGAGGGAGGGAGAGCAGATGTGGTTGGCACCGCCGAATCAGAGGTTGAGTACGCAGAATGATCTCACAGGGGCAGTTATCTACTTGTTGAGCGATGCGGCGAGACATACTACGGCGGCGGATATTCCGATTACTGGCGGGTTGCATGCTGGTACCATTGATGGATTGATTAGTTATGAGAACAACTAGGTTGAGTTTAGCGTTCAGAATGATATGAAATTGAGTTTATCCATCTTCCCAATCATTATTCCTTCAACCTCAACCCTTAATCTTCAACTGGGTATTCCATCACATACGGCTGCATCGTTGAGGGAGAGTCGGAACTGAGTCTCATTCTTCACGCTGTATTACCCAACGTATGTCTATCATATTCTTGGTATTGCCAACTGGCGCCACTGATAGCCAAGTCGGTTGTTATCAGCTGAATGAGATACCTTTTCCGCCGTGAGCCTCAAGTGATAAGCCTTCAGCTGACCAGCGGCCCGCGAAGCGGATACCGCACCCGGATCCGTTCCTGAACCCCATACCCGCCCGCTATCTTCAACATTATCCGGAATTGCGAATCATCGGCTACGGGATCATAATCATCATAATTCATTCCTGACGCTAACCGTAATCAAAATATACTCTCCGAAAACATGTGATTAACATCCCCAATAGGCCACTGCAACCTTAGCGAATCCTCCCAGCCCATCTGCATATCCGTATCCGAAATTACCGTCCCAGCCACTGCAAATCCACCCGGAACGACCCCGTTATTAAAAGGCGGCGAGTACTCCGCATAAGGCTGGAAATCCCCAACTGGCTGTGCGAGACTTGCTCTTCTGATTGACTCTGTGACGTTATCTAGACCCTCGTGGCTTCCTGGACTCGCTGGGTTTAGAATTCCCAGGCTGAGAAGGTTACGCCGCATTTCGATGAGGCGCTTGGCGAGACGACGTGCGGAGCGCGAGCGGTGGGTATATTTTGTTGTGAGGGTCACGCACATGCTGAAACTGCCGCCGAGAGATTCAATGAGATCGGGGGTTAGGCTTGGCAGCATCGTTGCTCTGTTTTGCTTTATGAAAGCGATGAGCAGAAATGCTAGACCAGCGGTGCATGCCAGTATATGCTGGTAATGTGGATGCTGTTTGCGGTAAATATCAGTAGTCACGTCAAGCGTGTGCAAGACATGAATGATATCGTAAACTCGATCAGTTGCCGATCGAACGTGGTTCTTTGTAATCTCAATATCCAACTCTGAGAAGAAGAATGGTTTAAGGAGTTGACTCCGAACGGATTCCGCTCGGAGATTTAGTAAAATCGTCCAGGTTGGCGGACGAGTTGATGGATCTGTATGCCACGTCTGACAGTTTGCAACGGTGTAATCACCAACAGCTTTCTTTCTCCACTGCTCGATCTGAAAGCTCATCAACTCAAATGAGTTTTCATCGTTATATCCTTCACCTTTTGCGGCGTTCGATATAGGTTCGCTGAAGCGATCGCTTATCAGGATGAAAGAGAGCATGGCCTTGAGGTATGGATTTTTGACAGACGATGTTGACATGGAGCTGAAGCTCTTGTCTTGGAAGTGTGTCGGTAGACCCGTTGCGTAGCTCCATTGCCGATCAAGGATGACAATACTGCTGATGAGAGTGCAAGCTTCTGTGCGCTGAGCCTCTGTCTTGACTGTATGTCTGAAGACTTCGGCGTTATGGAGACCAAGTTCCATCAGCATGCGACCTGCGATACCGCACATGCGCCAAGCTGAGCGGGGCATCTCTTGGAAGAAGTCATACCAGCCCTGTTCGAATTAGTAAATTTCTCATTTTAGACAGTGGTAATACCATACCTTGAGGAATATTATGGTCGCATGCTGAATGCTATTAGCGGGTGCGGCCAGCTTCGCATTTACAGCATCCTGAAAACTATCCCTCAACAAAGTCTCCGTATTCGAGCTCGAAGGGTTTCCATCAGCCCTCAAAGCAATAGCCAAGCACAAGTTCAATATCAATAACAACTCGTACGTAGCAGCTCCAGTGCTCGACGCCAGAACATCCCAGATTCCAGCACCAGCTTCAGCATACCACGAGCGCGTCTGCATGATGAGCGCATCGATATCAACAACGGGATGAAGTTCACCGACAACTTCTTGATAAATGTACAAAAGCTGAGTGGCGTCTTGCAACCCCATAATTGAGCGGAATGTCAAAAGCATGGCTGGATCGCCTTTGTCGATTGTGCGCGGTGAGACGGAGAATTGTGTATTTTGCCCATCGTTCTGATCTGCTTCGTCGGAAGCGTCGTCTTCGTGAATACTGGCAAGTTGTAATTGCTTTTGTTGAAGTGGTGGGCCTGGACAGCTATTTCGTCGGAGTTTTAGTTGTCCCACGTTCAATGCGTAGTCTGGACATGTTGGGCCGTAGAAATGTTGAGAGGCGGTTGTTCGTGAGGATTTTGGCGTTGAGCTCTGATCATCGGTGGTGGATTCAGTGTAACTGTGACTGATGATGGGTATTGTATTGGGATTTGCGTTAGGATTAGGGTCGCGGGGCCGTGTCGCAGCAATCATGGTCATTGGCGATGGAAGATTCGTTTGTTCCTGGTTACTCGAGTATTGCACTTGCGACGCCAAGCTATTTAATTGCTCCTGAAGACTAGAGAGCATATCAACAATCGCAGCTTGATTCGTCTGACATGAGGTCCCTGAAGTTGTGCAATCACGGTTCGTAGTCGCAGGGATCGGGTCAGTAATGACGGGCGCTGGAGGCGCTGCTGTCGTTGTAGTTGGGTGCCAATCGTCACTCTCAAGACTGGAGCTATTATTCTCAAGACTGCTGCTGTAACTGCAATTTTGGTTTCGGCTTGAGCAGTGCCTGCATGGCTGTCGTCCGTCGCATTTTCCCTTTCGTCTTCTACATGCGTCGCATGCGCGCAGAGCATATGGTGTCCTCCGTTTTCCGGTTTCTCCGGTTGAAGTGCTGGATTTCTTTACGCCTTTGGGTTCACGTGCCTGGGCCATGGCTAAAACAGGGGTTCCGTCTGCCCCCTTTGTCGCGTCGCGTTGATGAGTATCCCAGTGTAACCAGTCAATCGAGTCTGTCCTTTCATTTAATATTCTTTCGAGTATGTCGGAAGTCGGGTTAGAGGTGAGAAAGGCGGGAACTCGGGGGCAAAAGGTGAAGAAACACCGCGTTGATTATTTATCTTGGTCAATCTTGACTAGCGTCGGTCTTCACCTTGGACCCATGCGGGGTAAACCTGACTAGACTGAGATCGGCGAGACTAAGCTTCTACTTCTTATCTCTCATAATTTTAGCTGCAGAAATAAGTAGCGGACTTCTATCGATTCGGTTTAGGTGGTGGCCAACGGCTTACATGAGCGGTTTGGAGGCCAATCAGATATTATCGGTTTGCAAGACCCTTATCATTCACCCCGGTTTCGGAAGAGCATCCGCTGCATTGGTTGGGAGGGTTCAGGGTAGATGATTCAGATTATCACATTTGACGGCATGGCCGAGTCAAAAGATGCAGGTGAAAGCGCTCAGCTGGAAACATAAACGCCTCATAGTCATTAATGGTGGCAATGTCTTAGACTGTTGGTGAGGACGTTGTAAGGGTTGCGGTAGGACTAGACAATTGCCGCACTGATACCAATGCGCTTCAAAGATAATGTGTCATCACGATTGCGATTTGCAGTACTCTCTGGCATCACCCCAGGCATTTGTGCTTTTGACATGTCAGAAACAGCAAAACTCGCAAGCCAATGGTCTTATACAAGTTTACCTCTTCATACAATAACACTGATTCAATTGGCTATAATTCCTCCATGGCTATTGAGGCTCAACAGCACGCGGATCTTGAGCGTCCAAACAAGACCCCGAGTGGGGCAAAGTTGTCGTCATACTTCGGGACCGAATACTACCCGCGGGAAAGAAAAGTTAATGTTTTACTCAAATCAATTGACGCCGAACTAATGCTTCTAACAAAATGCTACACTAAACCTCCCGAACCTTGTAACTAAACATCTCATTCGAAGCCACCGAATTCCTATCCCTCATCTTCGCCGCTGTATCAATACCCGTCACCGGCACACGATACTCATACTTGGCACCCTCCTTCTGTCCTGCAACAGGATACGGGAAGGGAAGATACTGCGGTATCAAACCCAACTGTGCAAGAACAGTGCCTTGGTCCCACGCGATATGCTCATGGTAGAGACGATCGCCGCGGATGTTTACGACTGCTGTGAAGGGGACTTCCATCTTCTTGTCGGTTGGTGGAACGCCGGGAAGTCTGAGATGTTAGTGAGGGATACTAAGAGGGACAGGAAGTGACGTACAGCCAGTCAATTGTCTTATTATGTGTGAACTTGTAGAGGAACTCGTCAACTACTCGGTCAATACCGATTGTGCGGCTGATGAGTTCAAGTTCTGTGTCGTCGGAGTTTTGAAAGATGAAGTTATCGCGGTAGAAAGTTGTAAGTGACTTGCGACCAATGCCACCGGTAAGCTAAACCGATGTTAGTATCTCAACTCATCCTCAATGTTCAAAAGCTGCAGTGAACTTACAGTAGGCACGTGATTAACATATGGCTGATCAACCATAGTACTCATCGTATGCTCAACCGAGCGGTCCGCAAACTCATAGTACGTATGCTCATCCCAAATAGCCTCAAGATCAAAGTAAGGTCCATTAGTTAGAGGCTTTAGGAAAGTTAGGTTTCTTGTGTGCGATAGAGACTCAGTCCAGTAGTCAAAGTCATCTTGGAATGGAGTTGCCATGAGATGAGACTTTGCGCTGGAGTATGAGTATGTTGTGAGGCCATCACCTCTCTCAATGATGGCTGTGCGGCCTGCAATGTGGCGCAGGATGGGGATATTGGACTTTTCAAGGGTTGCGAGATCTGCGTCGTTGGCGTAGATCACGGCGCCTACTAGACCAGAGTTGTTGACTGAGCCAGCTACCTGGTTCCATAGCTTGGGGTCATATGCTGTCAGAGAATTAGTATCACGTCACCAACCAACACATGGACTCACTCACCGATAAGTCCAACCTTGCTATCCTTCTCCAATTGCTCACAGCCCCTCAAAGCTTTCAAAGCATCACTCAACACCTCACCCGCATCTCTCTTAAGCGCCTTAGCCTGTATCTCAACAACAGCATACCCCTCCTCAGCCCACTTCAAAAGAGCAGAGGGAACACCCTCAACAATCTCCAAATGCTTCTCCGAGTCAGGACTCAGAATAACAAGACCAGGACCATGACCCCGTCTCGAGAGTGGAGGCAGAAGAGTTATCCCCTCACCAACAATCTCAGGCTTGGCCTGGGGAAGAGGAGCAGGAGGCTTTGAAATGTCGGCGTACATTGGGAAAATTGATTGGTTGATTTTCGAGTCTGGGGGTAAAGGTGGTCTAGGCGCTGCTCGAAGAAACAATATATAGATAGTAAATTAAAATGTGAAGTACGTAGAGCGGAACTCCGCCGAGGTTTGGTTGAACCCCGGATTATGATACGAGGGGTTATCGCGAACCCCGCTTTTGACAAATCTTATCGCAGATCTGAGATAAACGTTTCAGTTTCGGAACTTCCGGTCGGAAAGTCCGTAGGCGCATGATGCGCTGTTAGTCTTTAAGCTAAACATGATAACCGAGTCAACTCCAGCGAGTCATCTCTGTTCCTGCGTCACTAATCTGGATTAGATATATGAGTTACAGGGTTCGGAACGCTTATTGAAGCTCTCGTGTCGTTCCGTAGTGATGATTTACCCCAGATAAGGCAACTGATACGTGGGGACGGAATGGGGGTGACGGAACGTGGAATCTGGGGTAGTAGCTAAGCTAGTGTTATCGGCATTCCTTGTTTACGACAGTTCTACAGCAGTCGAGATATCGTTCCGACATGCATTGGTTGTTTGAGGGGTTCAGCTGAGTTGTCAGTTGGAGATTAGACGAGGTTTTGGAGTGAAACTGATGTTTGGGGATACCCGACGCTTGTGGTTGGATAGATATAGAAAGCCCATGGTTCGCCCCCTTGGCTTGTTTGCATCATCATACTTGCTTCTTTCAACTAATTGAGGATACACGATCTTGCCTTTTACCTCTCAACACTCATTCTTCTATCTTTATCAAGACAACATGACTAGATCCTATGATGTCGTGGTTGTAGGCGCTGGTAAGCCTCTCCCTTCTGCTCCCAGAGACATCGTCATCTAACAAGTCAGGATGGTTCGGTCTGGCCGCCGCAAAAGCCATTAGACAAATCAGCCCCCACGCCAATCTGGCCATCCTCGAATCCGCCGAGTCATGCGGTGGCACTTGGTCCAAGAACCGTCTCTATCCCGGTCTCAAGTCCAACAATATGAAGGGCACATACGAATTCCCCGACTTTCCCATGGTCGAGAAGACATACGGCGTCAAGCCCAATAGCCACATTCCCGGAACTGTCCTCCATCGATATCTCACCGACTTTGCTAAGCACTACGACTTTCACGATCGAATCCAGTTTAACACTTCTGTTAACTTGGTAGAGCGAAATGGCGATGCGGGCTGGAGAGTTAGTGTTACTTCCCCCGAGGGAACAGAGAGTATCACTACTGAGAGATTGGTGCTGGCTACTGGTCTTACATCAACACCGAATATGCCCCAGTACAAGAACGCTGACAAGTTTGGCGCTCCTCTCTTCCACGCTAAGGACTTCTGCAAAGAAGCTCCTAACCTGAACGTCAAGAAGGCCATTGTCGTCGGTGGTGCCAAGTCTGCCTTTGACGTTGCTTACGCTCTGGTTCAAGATGGCGCAACAGTCGACTTGGTTGTGCGCCCTACAGGAAACGGACCAGTCTGGATCGCTCCTCCTTTCGTCACACCTCTCAAGAAGCGACTTGATCAGTTGCTCAACATTCGATGGATGACCTGGTTCAGTCCTTGCCCTTGGGGTCAGGAAGATGGTTTCCCTGCTGTACGAAACTTCCTCCATGGAACTTCTGTCGGCCGATTCCTCGTCAGTAACTTCTGGAAGGCTTTGAGTAACGATGTCACTGGGGCTATCGGATACGACTCTCACCCTGAGCTTGCGAAGCTCAAGCCTTGGCACTCTGCTTTCTGGATTGGCAGTGGACTTAGTATTCTCAACTACGATAGCCCTTTGTTTGACCTTGTTAAGCAGGGTAAGATCAGAGTTCACATCGATGATATCGAGTCACTGGAGCCTAACCGAGCTGTCCTTGCATCTGGCAATGTTATTGACACCGACGCTATCATTTGCTCAACTGGATGGAAGAAGGAGTCTACTATCAAGTTTGCGGAGGATGAGCTTGGTCTTCCCTACTCAACAGAGAAGAGGCGCTCCTTAGCCCAAGCCGCGGACGAGAAGGTCCTCTCTCTGTATCCCAGCCTCAAGAAGCAACCAGAGCTCAATGTCAAGCCCAAAGAAGCCAATCCTCTTCGCTACTACCGCTTCATGATTCCCTCCGGTATGGTCAAGACCCGTGACTTGGCTTTCGCCGGCATGATCTCAACCGTCAGCACAGCCACATGTGCAACCATCCAAGGCCACTGGATCGCTGCTTTCCTCGCCGGCAAGATCGACCGCATTCCTACATCCGACAAGGAGATCACCGATGAGATTATGCTTCACACTCAATGGGGCAAGTGGCGATACCCTTGCGGTTACGGAGCCGATCTTCCTGATCTTGTATTCGAGGGTCTGCCTTATTGCAACATGCTTATGAAGGATATGGGACTCGAGACACATCGCAAGGGAAGTCGGTTCCAAGAACTCACCTCGCCTTATCTCCCTGCTGACTTCAAGGGATTGGTTGAGGAGTGGAAGGAGAAGCATGAGGCTACTGAAGAGATTAACGGTGTCGAGGTTGAGCAACTTGCTGGTGCGCTGAAGAAGGCGTAAGGTGTATTGTTTTGTCGTTAGCATATATCCATGGTCGAGATTGTTCGCGCTACTGTCCATTGGCAGTTATCGCATAATAGCAGAATGAAAACGAGTATTCTTTAGTATTTTCCTGTGACTCTTTTCTCGATCATCGAGGTGCTCATGAAGACTGTGATTAACGTTCTCTAGCGTTGGCGGCCTATAGTTGCAGGCTTTTAGTCAGTGCGTTCTAGCTGCTCTCGCATTGCTGGAGGAGGCTGGTCACTTGAGCTTCAGCGCTGACGCCAACAGCCTAGACTATGCGTTTCGCCAAATCACGTCGCTGTTCGTTGGCGTGGGTATGACTTGTTATCGAGCTCTCATAAATGACGTTGCTATAACAATGCCAAAGAATGCTTGGCGATTTTCTTACATCTGCGACAGATCCAATTGAGTTATTTGAACCTTGTACACTGATGTCATTTGTCAGCCTGAAGCGCGCCCTTGAAATGAACTATGACGCTGCTTACCATCAACTGATGCGACCTTGAATTATACTTAAAAGAGCTTATCTCGACTTCAAACTCGCTTCACCATCATCGAACACGCAGTGCAACAGCGCAGAATGGACCGCAGCTTCGATATCACGACGGACACGGGCGCTGCGTCGATTCACGGCGGCATCATTCCCCTAGAACCCCTCAATCCGAAAGCGAAGCTAAGAACAGCCAATCAAGCCAGCACCAACAATGACAGCGACGCGCAACTGAACCCTCCAGTTCCCGAAGAGGAAAATGCTTCAAGCGCACAAGACTCAAATGGTCTGGGGATATCCAAGACAAGAGGTGTCATTGTCATCGTCACTCTTGCAGGCATCAGCTTTCTCAATACCATGGGCTCCGGCATTCTCATCGCTGCGCTTCCCAAAATTGCTGACGACGTTGGACTCTCTGAGAACCTCATCCTCTGGCCCGCAGCAGTGTACGCGCTCGCAGCTGGATGTCTGTTACTCATCTTTGGTGCAATCGCGGATGTCGTCGGAGCCAAGTTGATGTGGGTTACGGGGAGCTTTCTCTTTGTAGCTTTCACATTGGCTGTTGGCCTTGCTCAGACGGGCATTCAAGTCATTCTTTTTCGCACTCTACTTGGGGCCTCGATATCGATGTGCTTGCCTACAGCTGTCAGCTTAATTGCCAATACCTTCCCCAAGGGCCCTTGGAGAAACGTCGCGTTTGCGATCAACGGCATGGGCAGTCCTCTTGGATACGCTCTCGGCCTCGTTCTTGGAGGTATCTTCACCGATACGATCGGCTGGAGATGGGCTTACTACATGAGCGCAATCATCAACTTTTGTCTATCCACAGGCGCGATCTGGTCGCTTCCCTCTGTGTATACTCCATCAGAGCGGAAATGGACGACGCGCTTGATGCATGAGATTGACTGGGTTGGAGCTACCACTATGAGTGTTGCGCTCGGCATGCTGCTCTATGTCCTTGCCATGATCTCATCGTCGTATAAAAGGCTGGATGACCCGCAAAATATTGCACTGTTGACCGTTGCCATTATTCTGTTAGCTGCATTTCCCTTTTGGATGGACTATCAGGTCAAACGCGGAAAGCCAGCCTTAATACCCAACAGCCTCTGGAAGAATCGGTCTTTCACATCCGTTTGCATTGCTGTTTTCTTGTGCTGGGCTTCGCTGAATGGTATTGAGTATTTCACAACGCTATAGTGAGTCCCTTGAGATACTAATTTGATCACTTACTGACCCTGGCCCCGTAGTTTCCAAAAGGTCGAGGGTCTGTCGGCTCTAGAAAGCTCCCTCAGATTTCTACCGCATGTCATCATGGGTGTGGCGGTCAACATCATCACTGGCTTCCTCATCGCCAAAGTTAAGGTTCGCACGTTAGCTGTTGTCTCAGCACTTGTGACAATGGTGGCCGCCCCTCTGATGGCGACCGTTGACGTTGGTGAGAACTACTGGCTTGCTCCTTTTTGGGCCATGTTCCTTTCACCCGTCAATCCGGATGGTAGGTTAAACCGCACTTTGACCTGGTCAAGCTAATGTAAAATAGTATTATTCACTGTGTCAAACCTCGTGATTTCCGACGCTTACCCCCCAGAGATGCAGTCCCTCGCTGGTGGTGTCTTCAACGAAGTCGCTCAATTTGGCAACTCAGTCGGTTTGGCCATTACCGCCGCAATTGCTGCTTCAGTTACAGAGCACTCTAACATCACGGAACGCCAAGAGGCTTTGATGAAAGGGTATCGGGCTGCATTCTGGGCCATCTTTGCCAGCTGCAGCACTGTCACCATTGTAGTATGGCTTGGGTTGAAGAAGGGCGGTATCGTTGGAAGGAAGCAGGATTAATTATGAGTGTCCAGAATTTTTAATAACTTCAAATGGTATATTCGTAGCAACTACTTAACTAAGACTTTCCAAAGAGCCTTCTAGCAAACCCTCGAGCTCCTTCTGAGCACGTGATCATCTTCTTACGATCTGCCTGGAACTGATCGGGAGAAGTCAAGACGCATTGGTTGACTTGCTCGTGTTTCGACGTCCTGAACCGTGTTTGACACATCCAGACGCCCTTGAGAAACTCCCCAGGTGACGGTATCACTCTTATCTCATGCTCTGGTAAAGACATGATGAACTCGGGTTTCAATACCCCACAAACAGCTGCTGCCCAGTTATACGGAAGGGCTGGTTTATGAGATGCCCAGTCCGTTTGAGACCATTGCGGAGCCACTGCAATTACTTGGAGCGGTTCAGTACCCATGATGTTCTTGGTATAGGCGTGTTGGGGGCGGATTGTTGGTTGTACTGTATACTATCAAGACGTTAGAACAAGAAGAGTGTGGTTCCTCCTGAAGCAATCAACGAACCTCGTGTATTGTCCCACAGATCATTTTGCCAAAGACTTTGCAATGATCTTTATGATAAGGCGGATCCAGTAAGACACCATCCACTTTACTAACCAAGTTGTCTGTCTTGTACAGTATACCCAGCTCTGTGAGAATAATCTCGATCTCAGGGTGAATTCCATCCCATCTTGGAGGTCCCTCAACGACAATGACAATGTTATGCCATGGAGGGGGGACATCGTCGCCAAGCTCCAAACGCTGCGTCAATCCAACAACTGCAGTGGTGATAAACTCCCATTGGCGTTTGAAAACAGAAGAAGTAGTCATCGTCGTCACTGGAATGTAGAAGACAATTTTGATGTCTCTAGGTTTTAGATATCGCTTCGGTCGTAGAGTGTCTTTCTGCGAGGGTAACTCTTGTGCTGAACACGTCAAAGCTGTGAAGCTATTGCAGGAGGATTCGATATAGTAATCTTCAGACAAGAGATCTGTGACCGCTGTTGGCATGGGCCAGTTGATCACTAATTTGCCGTGGAAAGTCTCAACCCCCAAGTAGCTGAAGTCTGGCATTTCTGACAATACGTCATATCCGGAAAGGGTAAGGCGGTCTGTCTTCGATGCGTTTGTTGAGACACCTTTCGTTACCTCAGGTTCGTCATTTTCGTAGTCGTGAGAGTACCTTTCATTACTGTCATATTTTGCAGGACCCGGTTTGAACTGTCGTTCCTGGGCGGCTTGACTGGTTTCGGTTGATCGGTCCTCAAATATCTGCCTCTCATGAACTCTTGCATGGTCTGGATAATGGATTCCAGCGACTCCTCGTGCATCGTCCTGTGATGATGTAGACTGGGCTGAAGTCGTTAAACGCTCGACTTCGCCCAAATATGCCTGATTTACGTGAGCTTGCCATTCTTTCTCCTTCTTCTCCCAATATTTTGTTTCACTCTCTACTGAGGACTTCTCCCATTCCTCAAGGTAAGCGTCATCGGGCGGTACTACAAGCTCATCATCTTCCTCGGAAGGTTGCCGATGACCTGAATGGTGGAAAGCGATCGGCTGTTGGATGTGCTGCTGTGGAGACTCGAGCGAACGTTGGACGTCTTTCAGCTTTGTTTCAGCCAACCTTTCCTCGCGCTTTTGCTCTTCCCATCTCTTCTTCTTCAACTTGTATGACACTGGATCGCTCGCTGCAGAATCCAGCTCCCAGTCCGAAAGATAAGCAGGATCGGAAGGCTTATCGCTCCCTTCCTCTTTCTCAAGAACAAAAGATGGTGCTTTTGTGCTAGAATCTCCTCCATCGATAGATGCGCCATCCATGGCCTTCTCAGTATATGTCGTCATCTCCTCAAGAAAGTTCTGAAGGATGTAGTCGTTTCCTCCTTGCTTCGGTAATCGTTGCTGAAGGCGAAGTATTTCTTCCAGAATTTGCGCCGTGTCATCTTTTATCGCTGACGTCTCATTAAGAATCGCTGATGTGTCGTTTTTAATCTCTTTGGTAACGTGCCTATATGTATTGGTGAACCTGTCCCAAGTAGTCGCGTGGGTACTTACAGTGATATCATATCCAGAGCTAACTCCAATGCTGCCTTATGAGCCTCAAGATTTGAGCGCAGTTTTGCGACATCTCCTTGTCCATTGATGGCCCAACCAGCCTTGGATTTGAGTCGGTTATCGCCGCCATATTTCGTGATACACTCTTGTAGCTCTACGACCACCGAGTTGCAATTGGTTACGATACCCGAGACATGTTGTTCGAGAGTCGTGGGAAATGTCTTGCTCTCATCAGCCACATCTTCCTGGATGAGTTCAAGGACTGTTTGTAGAGAGAGCAGCTCACGTGCCACCCGGTCAAGATCACCCCGGGCTTCGCGACAAGTGCGAACAAAGGAGTTGATGGACAGTGATAGGGACCCAATGGTTGAAATGAGAGTGGCGCATCCTGTCGCTATCGATAAAGGGTCCATGATACTATGAGATATCCATGATCATTGACATGCGACAGTGAGATTCTCGAGCGAGGGGTACTGAAACCGGTTTTCAGCTGACGGGGATCATTTGATCTGGGATGCCCAATTGGTTGATGAGTTCAATGCATTTTACGAAGGCGCTTAACAATTATTCAGTTGTGTCATTGGTTCATTAAGATGCCAAGCTTCAACGGTAATCGAACGATAATCGATAAGTTGAATGATGTTATTCGCATAATTCTTGCATCGTCAGAAATCGCTGAGATTCGCGCACAATTGAGTATCGCTGGTACCACCGAGAGCTATGTAAAGATGACAGAAAGATGTCTAGTATATAAACTTAATTGGATGTTGTAGTACAGCCGTTCATTTAAGAATGCCTAGTAAGCACAGCAACAATTCCTAGGTGATGATTATGGTTTCTCAAGAAGGTATACTTATGTATAATCTTAAAAATAAAACATCGTTTTTTTTGGGGGGGGAGGGGCTCTAAAAATGGGTACGATGCCCTAGGAAGATAACTTTAATACGTCAAATGCAAGTAACCTTTGCAATGCCTCAATCCGAGGCTAACGTCATTCGCAGCTCCGCCTTCTGTTCCGTGTGTCACGAAATTGAGGTCGGAGGAATGGTAGGTCCACCAGGTTTTATGCTGGCAGTAGATCTCACTATCCTGGGAACCAGGCCACTCAAAAATGAGTGACTAACATTAAGAAATAATCATTCTCAAAACTCGCCTAAACCTGCGTTGGCATGCTTATCTCGTTGTCCCGGGTAGATGGAGAAATACGTGACGACAATGGCATGATCAGAGCGCCTCGTCGAACTAACGATGCGCACACGAGTAATGGTTCAAAACAGCTTGCACGGAGTTGATCCGTTGTCGCTAGTGAATAAACTCTCGTGCTGTAGTGCTTGCATAAATCTAATCGGTCTAATGGTGAACGTCAGCCACCCGGAGGAGATGCGCCGGACATACAAGTGTCATGGTGCATGGCGATCGCCAGAATCTGGTTAACGATAGGGCTGTGTGAGCGGCTACTTCAGGGGAAACTCGATCTGGCCAATCGAAAGCTCCAGCCTAAATAGTCTATGCCATCATAAGTTTGCTTGTGAGATCTAATGACAGTGCTTTGGGACTAGTAGATCCATGCAAACATCTCCCTGAATGTCGTGAATGAGACTGTCTAACTCTATTCTCTCATCAATGACAAGCTGATAATTCATTTCCATCATTCTCACCGATAATTGCTCTGCAAATTGGCCCATACCCCGGGTTTGGCTGCTATTGTTGCTAGTTACACCGCATCATCATCTAGTCTGAATGCGGGGTGAGCATTGGGCGATCACCGATATTTGACCGTGAATTTCTTGTGCGACATTGTGTTGGGAATTGAACAAAGCAAAGTCAATGACATCTACGAATATGCTCACGGCGAAGAGCAGAGAACAAACACTTCGATCAATTCGATCAATTCGATCCATGACGTCAATGAGTTCGTATGTCTCAGCGTTTGCTCGATGAATATGAGAGGATTGATGTTTATAAAAGAAGGACAAATCTCTAAGTTGTGCTTCCGATTCATCATCATCAAACACTCAATCTCATTAACAATCGCAAACAACTTCACCAACCTTCACCACCACCAACATCAACTACTTCATCATGTCTGACTACAAGCCCACTGGTACATCTTCCCTTCCACTCTCCCTCATAGAACAGTCTCTAACAACATACAGAGCACGACGGCCTCCGCAAGGACGGTCAGCCTGACGGTCGTGTCGGCACTGGCGAGTTCGCTCACGGCAAGGTTGACCCCCACAAGGCCGGCGAGCAGGGTGGAAAGACTTCCGGCTCCGGCGAGGGCCTTGGAAGCTCCGATAGCAGCGGTGGTGACTACAAGCCCACTGAGCACGGTGGCCTGAAGAAGGACGGCAGCCCTGACCAGCGTGTCAAGGGTAACTAAGGCGTTACGGATTATGCAGCGATATCTAGTATGTAAAAGACAAAGCTTTAACATCGATTTCTCATGTCGACTCTACTATAGTGAAAGTGAACGTGATGTATGTGACTTGAAAGGACTTTGATTATTTGAATGATGCACATGAAGGAGCTGGGACACGCAAACATCATGTCTTGCTTATTGGGTTATAATGCCAGCATGCATAGCGTCATAGTGATGAAGCACATTGTCTCACTCCAAAGCTTCACTGAACGGAAGCACTATCATTGTTAAAAACTTCATGATTCAGATAATCTTACCGATTTTGAAGTTTTAATTGACATGGCATCCGGGTTTTGTCCAAATGTTCCCGATTGGCTTCATTCACAACGTTGGCTGAGCCGCAAAACGCCAACACAAGACCACTCTATCTGAGCCGCAGACTAGGAAATAACATTGCGATCTACATTTCGTATCGCAAATATTTCCTCTTTCCTCGAGCGACATCTGTAACAGACCAGACTATGTAAAAAAAATAAGCTTCGATAGATTGACTCGCGTCTCACTCTCAGGGCTGAGGCCAGTATCCACCGCGGAGCCGAACCCTCAGCATTGACCAGGGTAAGCACATGGCATTTTGACAACACCACGCGATGAGGCTTGAGCCACGAACTATCTATTACCTTCTGTCCGGGATCAATTCATCCTGTCTCTAATCATCCCAACACCACGTTTTTCGAATTGGTACTGGATAAGCCCCTTTTATTTAGTGTGAGTTGACCAAGGCTAACTAATCTCTCAGGCTTGTGTTCCGGGCTTTTGGGTGTTGATGGACGCTAAGATGCGGAGCCGCAAAAGCAAATACTCGTCCAGGGTCTTCTATGCAAGACTGCCAATAGTGATGATTGGGAATGACTGCTAGGTATTGATTAGTGATTCAGATAAATGACCCAATTCGCCATTTCAAGAAGATGGGAAAGATGGGAATGAGGGCGAGATGTCGATAAATCAATTGATTAGGACGTAGAGTTATAGACAATGAGACAATCTTCAAGTAACCTAATTCAACTCCATTGACCCGGGGACATGCACGTCTGTAACCAACATCATACATCGCGGGGTACCTTGCAGTCATAACACTCCCAAAAGAAATGAGCCCAGGGGATCCGGACAACTGGGCTGCAACCTCCCACACAAAAGATCTTCCACGGTCCGTATTCCGTTGCATAAGCGCATATCCAAGAGCCAGGATCAGGCTCAGACGCAAAAGTACGCTCTAACGGATGCAACGCCTCCTCGTGGCCCCTGAGTCGAGCTAGCGTCTGCACCTTTTCCCTCAAATATATGCATCTCAATGCACCAAGAAAATCTGGCCTCGGAGTCCCTGTATTCTCGTTCTTCTTTATATCGACATTCCTTGTTCGCCAACCCGCTAAGATGGGTGGTCTTTTGTTGTCAGATCACTATGAGTTTCATAAGCCCAGTACCAATGATATGAACATTGCGAGTATCGCTTGGGGTTTCTCCCTAGGCGTGTCGATATTTGCGGGTACCAAGGCTGCGAAGCAGACGATCAAATCATGGAAGAGAGGGACGAGAACGAATATTTATCTCATCTTGGTTTGGATGGAATGGACGAGCAGTGTGATTATGAGTGCCATTACATGGTTGTATCTGCGACAATACATTCCACCCGGCTTTCCAGTCTTCTTCGTTATTGGTATGTCCCCCTCACCGGATCCGAAGCTTCCTCGTCTAACATACCCCAAGTCCTTCTTTGGGCTATCCAGATCCAATCACTACTACAGATTATCATCAACCGAATCTCGATCCTCATGGTCAACCGACATAATGCATGGAAACTCAAGCTCATAGTGTTCCTTGTTCTGCTCGCCATCAACATTAGTGTTTTCTGTGTCTGGATCCCCGCCCGATTACAGATCAGTTCTAAATGGATTGCTGTTAATGCTGTCTGGGATAGAGTGGAGAAATGCATCTTCTTGATTGTCGATGCTGGCTTGAACTTTTACTTCATCTACCTCGTTCGATCTCGCCTTATCGCCAACGGTCTCACCAAGTATACTCGATTATATCGTGTCAATTTGTTCATGATTGCTGTCTCGATGACAATGGATGTAAGTGAACATCTTACGCGTTCCAATTAACTTTACTAACAGAATAAGGTCCTGCTCATTGCAATGATGTCTCTTCCCAACGATATCGTCTACCTTCAGTTCCATCCTCTGACATACCTTGTCAAGCTCCACATCGAGATGAACATGGCCGAGCTCATCACCAAGGTCGTCAAGGCCAGCAACCCCAACGGCTACGACTACTCCGACTCGCGATCTCGCTCCGGTCAAAAGAGCGGAAAGACAACCACTGGAAAGAAGATGGGCTCCGTCTTTCCAGGCAATAACCAGACTTTCATTGAAGCCGGCGGCGATAACATTGAGTTGCCTCAAAGGAAGGAAGATGGTATTCAGGTTTCTAGAACTTTCAAGACTACTCAAATCGAAGTCGTCAAGGAGAATCGGGATCGTACTGATTACGACGATCTTGAGAGCGAGTCAAGTTCTACACGGCATTTGAAGCGAGAACCACTTCCATTTCCCGCTGAATAGCTCAATACTTCTCTATGAGCCTTTTCTGAATTGCCATTTTAGATTTGGATTGTCTTTACGGATACCCTTCCTGGTTAGATCACAGCGGCACATCATATACCCGCCGCTTAAATTCTTTCTTAAATTCTTTCTTAATTAGACGTATACGATATTAATGCATAAAATAAAATAGAATTTTCACAATGAGAAAGATGGTTTCGTAACAAATCCCTTTCTCTTGACTGAAGGATGTCGTAACCCTTGTTGTAAATCATGCGCTAAGATGCGGCTCCGCTCGACCGATGAATTGTGGCTGTTTGACCTCGATGCATGGGTATTAGTACGAAGGCCTCATTACCCCATTAACGGACGGTTTATTGGTAAGACGAGATGAAAATTGAATGTGGCGTTCGGGGAAGCGAGATATTACTTGCGTTATCACATCGTGGAGGGGGGGGGGTTTTGATTACTCAGAAAAAGTAAAGTTACCCCAGAATGAAATCTGGAGAAATACGTAGTTTCACCTGTTGCGTTTCTCGGCTGTATCTCATCGTAAGAAACACGTTAATGCAAGGAAGGCATTAACTCAAAAGATTTCTAGAAACTTTCATCAATCAATCTTGCTTGAAAAAGCTAAGTATGTATGGATACTGTTCCAAACCCATGTTATTCCCCTTGTTTGAGCCTATCTATTTCCAGGGTTGCCAAAGGTCGGGCTGTTCTAGATGCACTAAAGTTGAGGCGACAGAGCCACCTCACATACTGAATCTTCGGCCCTGACTCGATCTACAGAAAGAAACTTCTAGGTTACTGCAGTCGGTTCGTTACCCTTGAGAGTTGAATGCGATCGGTGGAACTATAGCCGGAGCCGCTCGGTTCCGATGCCACCAAGAGAGAACCAGCACTCTGGTAACACCGATGTACGCCGGAACGGTTCTCGTAAGGCACTTGTTTCGGTGGATTAATAGATGCAATCTCGGATATCGTGAGGGTCGTGCATGAACCATCATAGAAGATCGCACTGATAGATCTTGACTACCGGGACGAACTATAATGCGGATATTAAGACGAGAGATCTTTCGGAGCCGCAATGGTTCCCACTCGGACTTTTTTAACTAAGTCCAGGTCATATACCGACACTATACCATTTCCTGCTGAGTAAGTGACCTTAAATACGCAGATTTGTAAACGCGAATCGATTCCCAGTAAATGTCTTCCACTGCTTGTACAACTTCCTGATACTGAGCCAACAACACAATGGCAGGAACTAGAAATAGAAGGGTTGTTGAGATATATATCCAAGGTTCCTGGCTGTCAGATAACTTGTACATGGACATACTGAACATGCTAGAAACAAAGAACCCCGGTGCAAAGAGGATTACGATGTATGTTAAGTGAACAACATTGACATCGCCAAAGATAGATCTCCTTGAGTCCGAATTTTGGATCATCAACCTTGTCAATACGACCATATCCTCAAACAGCTGAGCACAGTCTTGGAGTTGATCTTGTAACTCAGTAATATCACTGAGAAGCAACTGCAAAGTCATTGTATCGCACTCTTGCGCAATCCGAAAGTTGACGAACTCAGAAAGAACAGTCAATCTGCGTCGTCTTTGCCAGATTTGTTGTCTCCAACTGGTTAGATTGAGGAGATAATCATTGTCCACTTGACATTTGGTGTCCTCTAGTGAGAGCTTGTAGCCCTTAGACAGCAGGCCTATAAGACGTAGGTCGAAACTCCAGTGGGTTAGAACTATAGGAATAAAATGGTGGTAAAAGTCCGAGATGGCTAAAGCCGCGGCTGAGTCTCCAAACAGCCCTGGCCGCTGGAAGGAATGAAACAATTTATCCAGCATCGAGGTGCCATCCAAGTAGGCATGGCCTTGAGTATAGGACGTCATGGAGCGACGAAGCTCAGATTCTTCAAAGACTGCTTGCAGACTACTGGCAGGATAATGTCGTCGTCTTCCAGCTCTAGTAGTTTTGACAACGTGTGTCACCGGAGAATCTACTAAGATCAGACCTAGAAAGATCAGCAATGATCTCAAGCAGTCCTTCGTTGAGCGTACATATCGAATAAGTCTTGAACTTCTCGATAATGACGGAACAAGTAGCATGAGCAATAATCAACTGTTGGTCCGATAGAAACGCCAAATTCTCGACATCTCGAGGAACATTCGAGGCTGTATGTAGTGCATTTTTCATATGATAAGATAGTTTTGCACTACTGAGATCCAGGATTTGCTGGTATGGAAGATGCAGGTATCCTTCACCAGGCTTAAATGATGGTAATGTTGCAAGAGAATGTGATAGAGGGCCCTTGTCGACGTCTGTAATGTTTGGGTTGACATATTCAGCGAAGAAGATTGGGTTGATATCAAATCTTTCACCTAAGACTATCATTATTTGAGGACTGATATCTTCAATGAGAAGCAGTCGCATGGTGTTTGCGGCTGGCTGTTTGATGATATCATCAATATCACAGTTTTCCATGACTGCCGGCTTGTTATTAGGTCCAAGCGCGTCATTTTGGGCGTAATCAATAATGGCGATCTTGCTGGAGTGAGTAGCCTTTCGGCGAATGTATCTCTCAAGACTCCTCACGCGTGGGTTTGACTGAGCCTGGGTCACCACATAATCTATGTACGATTTCGGCGGCATTCTGAACCAGTCAAACTGGTTGGGCGCTTGGTGCTGCAGTATTGAAAGGGTGGTCCTGGACAGGTAACTGCGTCTCGTGGTTGAGCTGCTCTCGGAATTAGATCAGTAAAACGAGGCATGTCGCGAGGCAGATTCAGTGGTGGGAGGACAGTGGCGTTACCCGGATTTTATAATGGCTGGCCCGGCATTCAGCTGAAGGCACTAAAAGCTTCCGGGCCAACCCAATCATGTGCGTGGCGTCAGCCATCTTGCAGATAGCGAGGATGAAGGATATTCTAATCATGAAGGAGTTCGTAAATATTATCGCTAAATTCAATGAACTTTAGAGCCAGTCGAATCGATTATTCAGCTAAAAACATGAACCTATTTTTCTTCATAGTAAAGTTCGGCTGACCCAGTGAATTTGGCTGCTGCAGGAAAGTGGCAGGCGATCTGATTACTTCAATCAGGACGAATAAACAGTCGCGTGATGAGACAGTCGAACACTATTTCGCGTATGCGAAACGAAGCAACAACAATACATCGAATCGCGACTTAGTAACGTCTTGCTTCTGTTGTATAGATTGATGTAAAATTATTCTGTTCAACGGTGTTCTCTTTGTCCGGATAACCTGACCATTCAACCACTCAGCTTTGACAAGTCAATGTTGAAGCTGCTGATCACTCCCTTCTTGATGTCATCCAAGTTCTGCTTCTCTGCTTCACGCTGGAGAATCTCGGCGCGAGACTTTCTCATCGCTTTGGCAACATCGGCCCACTCCAGAGACCGCTTATTGGTAACGTCCACCATGCTTTCCTCCACTGTTACACCAACTAGCTTGCCTTGACGCTTTCGAACAATTCCATCTACTATGACTGTGTCAATGTTTCCGATACTGCTGTGCAAAACAACGGCTGCGATAGGGTCTTGCTCAGCAGCGCAGACTAGTTCGGGGGTGTTGGCGTCAAAAATCACCAAATCAGCCAGTTTGCCTTCAGCAATGCTACCAAGCTGACTCTCCCTCCCAATCGCCCTAGCACCCTGAATTGTCCCCAGATTGAATACATCCTGCACAGTTTTGGAGATCTTTCGAGGGGCCAGGTCTTGGTCGATCAATTTCTGGTTATGCTTGGCTCTTGAGCCCTGTAAACCAAGTCTCATCTCGTAAACGATGCTAGATGCCTGATTACTGTGACAGTCGATGCCCAAACTAGACTGAGCTTGAGCCCGGGGAAGATCATCGTTCAAGCACACGGGATCTCCCAGAGCCATCTGCATCTCTGTGGAGGGAGTGCTGCTGATATGCGCTCCTGCATCAGCGAGGTCCTTGACGCTTTCAGCAGCGTATCCGTTGAGATGACTGAAAAGCATGCGATTGTCCAACAAGCCGAGACCTTTGATCTGCTGAACGAGATCATAAGATCCCATCTGTGGGTTGCTAACAGCATGAGTTGTTGCCAACTCGACACCGGCTCCGCGGGCACGCTTGAACAAGTCCTGAATGACCTGCTCCGTTAAAAACCAGAGATCAAAGGCTAGACCCATCGTGACCCTCTCGTCACCAAAAGGAGCCTTGTTGCCTAGCTCTTGAAGCTCATCCATGACCCATGGTGCAAGCATATCCGGATTCATCGCGAAAGGTGACCACGATGCGACGCGAGCCGTTGGGCAGTAGCCATAGACGCATCTCAGGCCCGAAGTAACGGTCGCTGAGATAGCAGTTGTAGCTAGGCACGATCTGTTAGTAAATATGAAGGGATCTTCGGGGTTTGTCAGACTTACCAGCGCCAGGAAAAACATTAACATGAGAATGGTCCACGACAGTGGTGGTGCCTGCATTGATTGCTTCGAGAGAACCTCCAAGCTGTCCCCAGTAGATGTCCTCCTCGGTATAGTTGGACGACTGAAGATTGCCAGACGCCATGTAATCGAGGAGTAATTCGTTAGCATGTCGTCCCTTGAGCTGGGTCTGCCAAAGATGATGATGCGTGTCAATGAAGCCAGGTGAGATGATCTTGTCGGCGCAATCGATAACCTCGGCGCCAGTGACTTCGCTAATATTCTCGGCTATCTTGGAGATCCGGTTTTTCTCAATGAGGATGTCCCTTCCCAGTGCTTGGACGTTGTCATTGGCGTCGTGGATAAGGACAGTGCCGCCTTTGAGTAACAGCCGGCGCGAAGTGTTACCGTTGAGAGTAGAGTCAAATACCATTGTGAGTAATAGTTCGAGAATTGTTGATTTCTTAGATGCAATTAGTTGGAAGGTTGATGTTCAAGTCAATAACGAGGACAGAGAGAGACTCTTATGGTCGATGACGACGCGGCGATGTCATACCCGTTCGTGCGCCAAAAGATATTCTGAGGCTACCTGCATGAAGAATCTCGGTGTTCCGTGGCCTAACTCCACGGAACACAACAAGTGAGGCCACGGCCGGCATTATCACGGAGGCAAAGTTGTCTACCCGTCTCGATCTACACAAGTGCAACACTCGCGCCAGAAATGCCCATCGCTTCCTGAATACCCGTTGCTAATTCTGGTGATATTCATCAAGATCGGTTTAGTCCGCTTTGACCTCCAACCACTAGCGGAAGTTGGTGATTTATAATAAGGTTTCGCGGCTGGTGATCAAGCGCGAGCGGAGATAGCGAAGGACCCGGGAGAGAGGGTTACTAGATTAGGATGCTCGCTTTTATCGGATTTGTAGTTTAGTCTCGGGTTGGTAATATTAGAGGAAACAAATCGCGAGAATTGCAGGGAAAACAAAGGGGAAGGCTATGAAAGACCTAACATCGAGAGTGGGCATTTCTCGGACTTCCACGGGATCGGCGGTGGCGTTGCGATAGCTTCAAATTGGGCGTTATAACGTCGTTTGAGATGTTGGCTCAATGATATTAGAAGACTACTACCAGCCCTCGAATAGGAAGAAAACCTCTTACATTAAATCAGAATGCTAAAAAGCCATTCCAAAGGCCCGCTAAGATATACTAAACTTGCTGGAGTCTTGTTATCGAAAAAAGATGTCCTAAGTTTTCCTACCTTTCCTTGCTAACCCAAAGTAACTAAAACAGAAAAGAAACTATGCTTTATAGCAAATCTTAAATTAGGAGATCTATTCTTGAGAAGATATACTAAGCCAATGTTTTCCGTACGAGTCTATGTCTAATCTGCTGTGAGATGATATTGCCGCTTCAAATTGCCGATATAGGGAGCTGAACAAGCTATGTGTTTCCACCTGGACGCAGTATCTATTGTGTATACCAACTATGCATTAGTTACTACACCACGGAACAATAAAGTGTGATCTATAAGTTTAAGCCAATTGAAAAAAGCCTTTCTAGGCATTGATCCATGGTGACCTTTAACACGGACTTAACCTATAGCTCTGTGTCGTCATTTTAAAGCAATGGTATGTAACGATCTATAGCTAATGATTGGCTGATAGTAAATTTACTATCTATTATGATGTGCCGGAGGTAGTAGGCATCAGGTCTATGTAGTAAACTCCATTGGTGGGCATGCAACGAGAAATCGGAGATGTACTCAAGCTGGAGGATTACTCGGAGTCGGATTTGAATGTTTAGTCATGTTATTTCCGAATGGGGTATTTTTCGGTCTTACCTCAACAGGAAATACTCCCAGCACCTCCACCTGTCGGAGACTCCGCTTCGAAAAGTTCTACTCATTCTCGAACAATCATCTTCCAGATCCAAGAACTTTCTCTTTTCCTTCAACTTGCGAGACCGCCCAATCGTTATCCTTAGCGAGTATTTTAAGCACTGAGTTGCTTACATCACATATTTCTTATCCACTATGTCTGTTTTGGACAGGTATGGTCCCGAGGTGCAGAGAGTCCCTGCAGATGCCCCCATTGAAGACATCATTGCACTTCTCAAGCGTGACGGAGGTGTTTTCGTGAAAGGGCTTGTATCTGAGGCAGATGTTGATAAGGCATATGGTGAATGTCGAGCACGTTTAGACTCCGATGTCGAATGGTCGGGCAGCTTCTTCCCCAGCAAGTCCTCTTTAATATACTTACTAGTACGACTGAACTAACTTGCCAACTTAAGAGGAGACGCAACGGGCGCCAAGCCTCCTTGCTCTCAGCCCTACATACGCGCGATCTCAGGTCATGAACCCAGTCTACCAGCAAGTCGTCGATCATTTCCTTACTACACGAAGTTGGTTCTGGTGGGGCACTGAACGGAAGGAGTCGGTTTCTAAACCATACTTGCATTCTTGTACAGCTATGAGGATTGGACCTGGAGGCAAAGCGCAGCCACTTCATCGCGACGACTACATCAGTCATAATATCCATAACAATATCGAAAAATGGGATGATGAGCGTGACGTGAACCGTGAATCTGCTGTTGGACTGTTTGTGGCTGGGTCAAAGGTCACGAAGGCGAATGGCGGTACGCAGTTTATCCAAGAGAGTCATCTATGGTTAGTACTGCTTACCAGATCTTTCAAATATCAAAGGTGACTGATGAACCACAGGGGTTCAGAACGTGGCCCTCCGCGTGTTCAAGACTGCATCTATGCCGAGATGGACAAAGGCGATGCATTCATCATGCTTGCTTCAGCGTATCATGGTGGGGGTACCAATTCCACCAAAGACCAGCACCGCTTAGTCTTTGCTACATTTGCTGTTCGTGGCTTTTTGAGACAGGAAGAAAATCAATTCCTCGCTGTGCCTAGAGAAACAGCGATGAAGCTTGACCAGGATATACAGGCATTCATGGGCTATTCGATGAGCGATCCGGCATGCGGTTATGTTGAACAAGTAGATCCGATATATCTGCTTCGGCCAGAGCTCGAGAAAAGTCCTTCGGACTTTTAGAAAGTTGAATATTAAGACAAATAATGGCTTCTATGTATGACTTCAGTAGTTGAAAACTGAGGTGGATGCCGATATCCCACTTCTCCGAGTGCGGGTTCTAGCCACATAAATCGGCTCTGATGACAGCGAGGCGTGCCCCACTAGTAAATCGACAACTCCGAGGCCGACTCGTATCTTCTCATCCATCTTTTCTCTCGCTCCACCATCGTCTTTTACTTCCAAATTTGGCAATACACACAGCAATAATGACAGGTAGTGATAATTCATCCTCAAATCGCCCAACTGCCCGTCGCAAAGGTGAGCACTGATTCTCTCTCTAATCATACTCTTGACCAAAATTACTGAGCTTTTCTTTAGACCCGGCTTGTGGGACATGCCGCAAAAAGTGTCGAAAATGCGATCGGAAACGTCCCATTTGCGATAGATGCCGCACCAAAGGCCTTCATTGCGAAGGATATCCTCCGCGTTTTCAATTTCAAGAGACATTGACGGTAACTCACAGTCAATCCAGCTCTCAGGAAGTCACAGCAGATAGCCTCGATGCCTCGCCTTCACAGCCTGTGATCTTAAGCCAGTCACCTCCAGAATTGTCAATGCCATCTGATCCCGTTGCTGCAAGACTGTCGGCTTCACTTTCGCCTGAATACCCTGTCCTTGAAACGTCAGCCTTGACCTTGGCGTCGCCCCAAACATCAGCGACTCTATCACTGTCGCCAGACGTTGTGTCCTTTACTGTCTCACCATCCGCACACAATGACCTGCACAACGACATTGCGACAAATCGACATATTATTGACTACTGTAAGACATCTGAAACACCGGAATGCGCACTCAGTAACAGACATCTCAGTTGACCAAACGCTAAGCGAGCATTTCATAATCCATGTACCGGGATTAGACAACCCGTTCAGAGATTATGTTCTGCCCCTTGCCTACCAGCATCAAGGCATTCTGCATGCGCTACTCGGATTATCGGCATGTCATATGCATAACACTGGACATGCGAACAGTCAGAGACTAGTCACGGTATCTCTTGGGTATAGACTATCAGCGATACGATCTCTTGCTTCTCTGTTGCACAAAGAAGACACCTCACGACTAACACCCACTGAGGAGGAATATGTTCTGGCTATGGTATTACTGCTCGTGTTGCACGATGTACGGTTTAAACTTCTTGGATTCTTTACCGGATACCTGTTAACATGACTGTAGGTCTGTGAATCAGGCGTCTCAACACATGGGGCTCACCTGACGGGCGTATCGTTCCTATGCAAACGGATCGCCTGCCTTGACACCTCGCCTAGGCGTTCGAAAACAGCCATGTTCCTTATTTCCGCCTTATCTTGGTAAGTCCAAGCGCTGATGGTGCTCACGATAGGTACTGATTCAAACAGGCTGGACATGCTGCGAGGCTTCAGCGGTGCTGAAAAGCTGTCCTACTCCACCGAAGTACGAGAATGTGTACGAGATCACGGAAGTCTTAGTCTTCATACACTCGTTGGCTGCCCGCCTGTGATATTCTTCAAAATTGGGCAAGTTCTCGAAGCAGGTAAAGATTACCTAGCGGGAGACCTGCCAGTTGAACAGTTTGAGCAATTGCTTGACGGCGCTGAGAAGTTCTTCCGCGGCTGGGATCCCGATCAAGCCGTTTATCCCACCAACCACCAAGAATGGCGACACCTAGCCGAGGCATACAGACACGCATGCTTGCTCCGTGTGATGAGGTTTCCCGACGCCTTTGCGATCTCATGCGATGACCCTCAGATCAAAGCCTCCGTCTCCGCGGTCCTCGATGTCTGTGCTACAATACCGAGAGACAGCGTGTTTTACAAACGTTTACTATTTCCGCTGTTCCTGGCTGGAGCCGATACATGCTCTCCGCATCAAATACACTACGCAAGCTGGTGCATCAACGAGATCAAGCATTCTACAGGCTTCCAGCACCCGGCCATGACTGATCTATTGACCAAAGTCTGGGACGAGAGACGGACGAATCCTCGAGGATGGTCAAACGTTCCCTGGATGGAATTCGTAAGTTCATCGCTTTCTTTCCCTTAGTCCGTACTGATACGAGCTTTTTTCCAGACTTGTTCCGAGCTTCTTCGTTCTCAACATGCATACCTCTTCTTTTGACGGGCCGACGTTCCACTAGTGCTCCACCGTCTAAGTCGGAGTCGGCATCGGGGATATAATCGGACTTGGCGATTGCAAGCGGTTGGGAGTATTGCTGTTTACGGAATAGCTTCGTCCCTGGGGATGATGGCTTGGCAATTGATGGGCATGAATAAAAGATGACATGAAACTCTGGCGTTTCTTCACGATGAATTATATGATTTCCCAGACTTCTGCTCTTTTAACCTGCTATTTATCCATCTATCAGCCATACTACACATAATATGGCAGCGCAAGAGAAGAACCAGGCCGAGTTGGAGAAGGCATCCAAGCTGGCAAATGTTCCGCACTGCGAACAATACGAGAGGATGGTCTCAGGCATGCTGTAAGTCAACACATGGGGCTCATTTGAGCGGTTCGATCTTACTTATACGATTGTAGATATGACTCACTCATTCCAAAACTCACAAATGCTCGTCTCGCAGCTCGAAAGGCCATGAACGAATACAACACCTGGTTTCCGGAAGGCGACGACTTCAACATCGAGTTTATCACCAAAAGGCGCGCTGAAATGCTGAAATCGTTCCTTGGACACGTGGAAGACGACGAAGTTTTTATCGAGCCACCATTCAGAGTCGACTACGGCCCTAACATGTCAGTCGGAAAGAGATTCTACGCCAACTTCAACTTAACGGTCTTGGATTCAGCTATCGTTACGATTGGCGACAGGGTTATGATTGGCCCAAATGTTATGATCTCGACAGCGACGCATGAAACGGAGGTCGCAAGCCGCAGGGCCTGCATCGAGTATGCGTACCCTATCAACATAGGCGATGACTGTTGGATCGGAGGCGGTGTTACTATTTTGCCTGGTGTCACGATTGGGGAGGGATGTACGATAGGCGCTGGCTCTATCGTGACGCGCGATATTCCTGCCTGGAGCGTGGCTGTGGGATCCCCTGCAAGGGTTGTCAAAAAGGTGCAAGCGCTGGGCAAATTTGAGGAGTAACAAAGCGCCTGGCTCGAGCTGAAAAGGCAAGATAGCCCCAAGTCGGAGAAATCGATCGATGTTCCTTTTTTGTCTTGAAGCTTTACCACTCTAAGCCCAGTATATAATAACCAGCATGGCTTGTTGCTCCAGCCGGGTTGCCAACAATTCATCCCTGACGCAAAGCTCCTAGCGTTGGCAATGCGCCAACTAACCATACTTTCCTCATCTCCCGATAGAATGGAATAACCCATCATGGATGTTAATTTGCCCGCCGAGCTTTAGGGGCAATTCCAGAATAGGACAGCTGCAAGGCGATAACCTAAAATAGCCAAGGGTGCTGTGACCAACATGCATTCGCAGAATGGGTACTTCAACCAACAGAGGACGTGCGGTACTTGTGGCCCTTTTTCGAATGGCTCGAGATCACAGATCGGTATCTCTCAAGTTCTGTCAAAGAATGGGTCGCCGTATCCCCGAACGGCTCTTCGGTGCTAGATGAGTCATATTCATGGGATCTGAGACGTAAAGCATACCATATTACTCGGTAAGCTTGGTCACTTGGGCTTTGGGCTTTTTACTAATTGTTGTTTCTAGAGTTGCCGCCACTTTCAACACCTTTGCAACGTATGGCGATGCGACCTCGCTATTTCAACGGCTAAAGACCATACGTCTTGTTGAAGTTTCTAGAATCTCGTCTGAATTGGAAGTTTTCCAAGATGGGAAAGCAATTCGGTCAGCGCCACAGCCTACCACTGCATATGTATCTGATGTCGACCTCGATTTCACCATCTATATATCGAAAGACAAGAAGGAGAAACTATTTTCAGTTCTACCAAGAATCCTTGAGGAATGGCTCAGGCATGATAGATATCCTTGGCATACATTCGAAGTGGTTAGCTCACTCACTTCTATCATTGCTAGTGACATTTCTGTTCTGGATGAGATACTTGAGGATCAAGGTATCATAGAACTGAATCCTGAGAATAATGACGCAAACGGTACCAAAAAGGCTTCGGAAGGCAGATCTGAATGCGTATCTGCGCAGGAGGTAGTTATGAGGCCATCCGAAGAAGATCAAGGAGAGCCGCTGGTTCTTCGGGGAAGCGAATTTGCTTTGCAAGTTGCCAATCAAGATACGAGCATGTATTATGATGACCCCAGTGTGTAGAAAGATTGAGAGATATCGCGGCCTCTCGAGAATCGAAAAAAGAGCAACGATTAGAGACGTCGTACACTATAGTGCCCTCAAGTCTACATCGTCATTGGTCAACATGATAGACTCTTACTTCAAAGTAAAATGATACTTGAATTTAGAGTCGCTTTTTCTCGACAAATATACGCTATTTCATGATTATCATCTCACTACACTCTTCTCTAGAAAGTCTTGTATCCACCCATAGTGCCTAGGCTACTAATAGTATCCTCACAGTAACTGGCTAGGAGCGTGTTAGCCTATGAAAATCTCGTGTCTGATAACAGCTAACCCTCTGCAAATGAGCATCGGGAGATAAAATCCAACTAAGTCATCGCAGCCGCAATTTCCATCCGTGTAGGCTATATCGTTGCGATTCGACTTCCATCCCAAAAGTACCAACCTTGAGTCAAGGTACTCTGTAAGGGACGGCTATCTCCATACAGACCGTAGATTAGCCAAATTTCGTTGTCACTATAGCTTTTGGTGGCTCCATTGGATGATAGGTTAAGCCTTGCCTCCTTTTGCGCGAATTCGAAGTAGCCTTAGAGTACATAGTCCTGGCGCTCTTGGTCATTCATGCATCGCAGGCTTAGCAGCACAGCGTAGCCATGCGAGCAAAGAGGTTTGATATACCTTAGCTCTTGAAACACTGTCCTGTGTAAGAACTCTCATGTTCGATTATACTCAGAAAATGGCATGGTCCGAGACTCGTAGGGGTGATCCTGGAGCTGCGCGGCGACCTGATGCACGAAACCTCTGAATTTGTCAAAGACAAACGTGAATACCGAGAGAAGGTAGGCAAAATCATAGACTCGATGCCCATATTTATCGAGCCCAGAACCAAACGAGTCCCAGCCCGGCCGCATCATGTCGCTACTGAAATGATCTTGGAGCAGATGCGGGCCACCTGAATACATGCCTAATCTCCAAGAGTCAAACAAAAGAAAGCCACGCTCAAACCGCGATATCTCTTCTTCAGAGAGCAGCAATGGTCTGAGAAACCCTGGGGGACAGCTAAAAGATGGATTGCCCTTGGATCTTGCCCTTGCTTCCGACGAGAGCTTGTCCTATGCAGCAACTGCAAACTCCGCAATGAGATGGTTCGCTTCTTCTCTCTGGCGATAGAATTCGCAGATCATAGGTAAGTGATAACCCCAATGTATGTAACAGGAAATATCTGAAGGAACCAAAAGGAACGAACCATCGACCTCCCTTCGAGCGAGAGGAAGCTCTTCAAGGTACGTATTTATCCATTTGACTTTATTTCTCTGGCTTGTTCAAAAATTTCCTCTTCTGCTTTTCGATGAGGTGTTGCATAGGTTAGCAGAAATCCTCTTATCGCGATACAGTCATCAGCGATACGCAGCAAATCACGAACGACGAGACCCACTATATTACAGCCCCTACAGCAGAGGCGAAGGATGGTCACGCAGGTAGCTAATCCATCACGTAACCTCCAACTCCAAAAACAACTTGACCGAGCTCTCGCCAACTCTAAAAGAAAATGGCTTCGACCTCCTCGAACCCCCCGGAGGATACCCTCATGCCATTTTCGTGCTTTCAGTGCCGTAACCGTAAACTAAAGTGCGATCGCCGCAGCCCCGGATGCAGCCGCTGTGACGCCACTGGGACAAAATGCCAATATCCCGCGTCGCGTAAAAAGCCTGTGATCACAGCCACACGGCCACGAGTCAAAGAACTCGAGTCTCGATTGGGTAAGTAAACAGTGAAAGTATTGAAGTTTGCTAAAAGGGATAGTCGATCTGGAATATCGGCTCAAGGCGACGCAGGACGAGGGATATCAATCGTTCAGACCTTTTGAAGCTTCGGAAAACCAACTCACTGAGACGGGGAGATATGAGCAACTTCCGCCACAAGAAATTATTGAGGAGTTGTGAGTGCAAATTATTGAGATTCAAAGTAAGGATCTGACAGTTTGCAGGACGAATGTCTTTTTTACAAAGGTTCATTGCAATGCGCAGTACATTCACCCCTCTCGATATCTCGCGTCACTGTATCTTCCGCCTCATATGCAACCACCAATGTGTCTTCAGTATATAATCATGGCCCGAGCTGCACTTGTGTCGCCGCCTCATAAGCACCTTGCCGATCCCTTTTATCGAAGAGCGAGGTATTATCTCGAAGCTGATGAGCAAAAGGTCAGTCAGTCATCTCGTCTGCATCACCTTGACTGACAACATCAGGGTGAAGGAGAGTATTTCGTCACACTCGCACATACACAATGCTGTGTTCTCATGGCCCATTTCGAAGTGCTGAATATGTGGTTCTCCAGATCATCTATGAGTACATCAAAATCTGTTCGTCTGTCACAGATTCTTGGCCTCCATCAACTCGATGGGAAGAATGACTGGAGACGAAATGCGACACTTCCGGAACCCAAGGATTGGTGTGAACTTGAGGAGAGGCGAAGGACACTGTGGGCTGTATTTTGCTGTGATAAACATACGAGCGGTACTACGGGATGGCCAAGTCTGATGGACGTCAGCAAGGTATGATCTACCAGAGCTGAGAAAATACGTGACTGACGCCTTGCAGATCAGCACATTATTGCCAGCCTCGGATGAAGCCTTTCAACTTGGCATGGAGGAACCTTCAACCTCACTGCCCCAAGTTCTCGACGGTGACAACTCTCTCTGCTCATCATTCGCATATCGCATCACCACGACTCATCTATTCCACGAATGTCTCGATCATACTTACCAAGACCATCAAGCCTCTGACCTAACAGACGTCGAAAACAGTCAGTTCTGGAAACGTCATCGCGATCTCGACACAAGTCTCGCAACAGCCTTCATCGCGCTCCCCGAAACGCTACGCGGGTCACATACCCAAGAAGCCACCACTATAAACCTACAACTTCACACCGCGTCGATTTGCATCCATCGCGTCGGTGCCGTTCAGGCCAAGAAGCACAGCATCTCGGCTGACGTACTATCTAACACACAGGCGCGTCTCGTCCCTTCTGCCGACGCGATATTTAACATCATCGCTTCACAGCCCGACGTGACAGCCATGTTCGGCAAACCCCTTGTTACATTCGCAGCATACATGGCGACATATGTGTTTCTAGAAGATTATGTGTCCGCACAGAATCGCACCAGCGAGATGAAAATGACAGCGCTTATGGATCTCATGATCACGATTGGACGTGAGAACCCTGTTACTGCATCTGCAGCCATACAAATGGCGCATGAATTACAGAAGACCGGGATTGATGCATCTGCTGTTGACAAGGTCCAAAATCTTATGGGGGAGAGGATTGCAAAAGGGCCGCTTTTGGGACAACAGAATACGGCCGAGGGCAGCGTGTTGTTCTGTCCTTTCGAGGGACCTTCTGGACCTGCGCCACCTGGCGTACCAAGTGAGATATTGAGGGGTAATCTCAGCGGTTTTCCTTAGCATTCAAGTGCCTGTCATTCGCGAATCATGATTCGCTACGGATATAACAAAATCACTTTTGGGTAATCATTCGCATTGCGCAACGTAAACATGAACACGAGGTGACACCTGTCAATCAGCGACCAAATCCATATCGGGTAATCAATACACAAGGAACTCACAAAGTTGACGCAAGTGGCGAACGACCAAGCAGGGAACTCGATCCGTGATAATGATTGGCCTGTGACGAATAATCATTGACAAAGCCTTTGCCATTTAGAGAAATGTATACCCGATGCTAACAGTGGAGAAATGCTGCGCATCACGCCGACGGCCGACATTTTATACTCCGCATTGCATTGAGGTTTCCCCAGATATGCAAGACATTTCTGTTCATTTTCAAACAATTTCTTTTGGCAACCAACAGTACGTTGCATTCGAAATGGCGCCGGTCTATAAAGTTGCTGTAATTCAATTTGAGCCCAAGGTTAGTTTCTGGACGTCATTACTGTAACTGTATTGATGTATCTGATGTCATTGACTTACACACCCTCAGGCCATCGTTGTCGCAGAAAACTTTGCAAAAGCAGAAAGCTATCTTCGTTCAGCCGCTTCAGAGGGATGTGATATCGCAATTCTTCCTGAATTCCATTTAACATCATGGGTCCCCGAACATCCCGACTTCATCTCCGCGAGCAAGACATCAACAGGATATCTCTCAAAATACCAAGCTCTAGCTAAAGAGCTCAACATGAACATCGTCCCCGGCACAATCTGCGAAGTCCATGCAGTTCCTGATTCTGAAGATGAAGAACTCCGCAACATGGCGTACTTCCTTGCCGCAGGAACAGGTGAGATTTGTGGATCTTACCAGAAGAAGAACCTTTGGCATCCAGAGCGTCCGCACTTAACTTCTTCGACGCATACCCCTCATACTGCATTCGACACACCACTCAAACACGCCGATGGAAGACCCGTACGCGCTGGTATGGTGATATGTTGGGATTTAGCATTTCCCGAAGCGTTCAAAGCGCTCGTCAACGATGGTGCTGATATCATATTGATACCATCATACTGGTTTATGGATGATAACGGCCAAGAGGGAGCTGGTCTCAACCCTGATTCTGAACGGATCTTCTTGAATTGTACACTTACAGCGCGAGCCTTTGAGAATACGGCTGCGATTGTGTTTTGCAATGCTGGAGGACTGAGTTGTGTGAATATGCCGATTCTGGGAGCATTGGGAAGAATCGAGGTTGGCGAGGAGAAGATGGAGATCGTCGATGTGGATTTGGATGTTTTGAGAGTTGCGGAAGAGACGTACAAGATCAGGATGGATATGAAGAGTGAGGGATGGCATTATAAGTATAACATGAACTCGGGTTCAAATGCATAGAAGGGGTATCTATCCATGGTCTACGTATATAAAAGCAACCTGGACTTTACTCTCGCCAAGCTTGGCATATTTGGAGCCGTATAATACCATTCACGAACAATGAAGGGTGCCTGAGAGAATCTGGTGATTATAGAGCGGTTTGGTATCTCGCTGACTCATCAAATCATCTAGCGTCATTGGTCTAGGGGTTAGGATTCAACTCTTCCATTGAGAAAAGTTGAGGCTCGGATTCGAATTCCGGATGACGCACGATCAGTTTGTTTTTGTTTTTTTGTTTTTGTTTCCTCTCAATTATTGACCCTGTTTCTACCACCTGACTTCTTTCAGCTCGATTTGACTGATTGCCCAGAGGGATCCAGCTCCAATGCCGTTGGCTTGCTCTCTTCACATCGCAGACGTATACAGATGTTCCGCGAGACATTTGACTCGGAATTACTAGCAAAAATCCTGCTAACCCTAGTTTTGACTCAATCGTTAGATCTGCCGAGATGGTATGATCTGACACTTCAACGTTTTTGACTCCCGATCCTGATCGATCATGTCTCAGACCACGCATCAACTTTCGAGTCTGTGCAATGGAGGCGCTAAGGGGTTTCACTCATGAAATATGATCTGATCCTCTGGAGTCGCCCGATCTGGAGAAGACTGCATGAGGCTGAAGATGTCATGCAAGGGAGGACACAAGCTGAGGACTTTGCAGCTGAAAGGTGATCCACAAACGAGATATCATTGGTGATGAGGGGAAATTTATGGATCATGTTATTTCCGTCGAGTTACACCAAGGGGGAACTTTTGCTCAGTTGTTCATTTCAATATTCTCTGTGTTACACACCTTGAGCCTCTTGGAAACGTGACTTGGGCATCCACCACAGAGCTATGCCAAGCTAGACATGCCTTTGGGCACGATGGGTAGCTTGGATGTCTGGCCTCAAGAAGTTATAGGAGTGGGGTCATAGGCAACTGCTTGCAAGCCACATTATCAGGGATATGTAATGTTAGGTGTAATCTCTGGCCAAAAAGAAGTACCCTTGGTATTGATTGCTTGATTGGATAAAGCCTTCTACAGTACAGTCGAGCTGCCTTATCGTCCCGCAAGGGATACAGTGTAATACTTGGGATCGTAGTAATGTTTTTGTGAAGCGTGATTCAGTTCTATCACCAACAGAGCCACTCAGAAGCTATCGTTCGACCCTGCATCGGCGCATGATCTGGTTAACTGGTCAATTTAATGTCACACGACAGTATATGTTCGTGGTCACAGTAGCTACACAGGAAGTTTAGCCATTTGAACACGAACAATAATGGCGTCCAACAAGAGTCAGATGTCGTAGGGCATCTGCAAGTGGTAATTCAGACAGAAATGATAAAGGTCTAATGTGCCACCTTCACTGTTCTGAGACGTGGGATCCAAGGAATGTGATGGCAGAATGTGCCAAGGCATAAGTAACAGAGAACTAACCCTATATCACCGGCCAGTCGAATTTAATAAAACGGAATTCTCCATGTAATTAAGGACTTGCGAGCCATAGTTGATGTCTCCATCTTTCACCGAACTGCCGAGATCCGGCCATTACAACGTGGCGCTGCTTTAATTTAAACTGTAGCGTCCGTTAACCCGAAAGTCTCAATGTCTCGGTTGCTTCAAAGACCGAGTGTGATGGGCACGAATACGCTGTCCGAAGATTAGCGGCATGTCAAACTATAGAGGTTGCAACCTGTTTCACTAGAGATCCAATCAACACTAGATATTAATTATTGCTGTGAGATTGGGTTGCTTTTCATCAGGAAGGAGATTCCAACATAAACAGCATTTCAAAGGATATGCGACTGTGTTGCTGTGGCCAGTCTTTGGTGATTCAATGTCAGTCCAAAGTTTATACGGAAACCTGGACAATGAGTGGAAGCAGATTCAAGATAAAAACATCCTTTCGCTTATTAAGACTAGAAGCGGAATTCAAGTCCTATATAGAATCACCATAAACGGTACTAGAGGACCTATCACTTCTCTTTGTACATATCGATATGGCCAACCACGTCAGCTGAAATTAAGGGTTAGAAGTATTTAGTAGATGCTCAATAGACCTATCAAGATGGCACTTTGGGCACCGCCTGGACACAGTAACTTGCCAAGAGGCTCTCGTTGATGTCATCGTCCTTGCCCATAGGTCCTGGGACGCCTCCCTGAATAACCAGGAATTCGAAGCCGAACCCCCCGTCAGGTGCTCACAGTAGCAGATATTGCACATATACATCCCAATGTGGCGACTGGAGTTGGAGAGAGAACAAAAGAGACGTTAAAAAGTCTAATACGTAGGTGGCTGGTAGGCGGTGATATCCGTTGCATGATTTGATGCTGGTTGACTCAGCCCCAGACTTTGACAGCAGAGCGCATCAGCCACCATGGAATGCCGGCTTTGATTCATGCTGTTGGTTCTATCAAAGAGGTGTAGAACTGGACCTCTTGCCCCCCTGACCGTACTTTCTGTCCAATGTCTCCGTGAATTTGTGGTTATCGTCTCTCTTTGTTGAATTCAAGTTTCACAAATCTTTTGATGTTTGTTACTGACGACAATAGAACTTTGAGTATGAGAACAAGACCTATCTGATTACAAGGTTCACATCGACTCGGCGTCGTGAGCGACCGCCCCCTTATCTCGATGGTTTCACGTCAGAAGGCTTGCAATCGATCACAAACAGCCCAGGCCTAGATCCAAACCCATCAACTGTGTTTTGTTTAAGATCTTATTGTGCCAAGGCATGTAGCACTACGCCTTCATCGATCTGGAACCACCCGAGCTGTCATGATAACGAAAGCCCTCCTCATACCACATACCAGGGATGAACATGACTTGGCCCCATCGGCCTTACACAAGCCGGCCTAATCAAACATTGACCCAGGATGTATCGAAGACCGGTATTTCACAATGTTATTTCTCACGAGCAGTCAATAGCTTGCTTGTTTGTTGTGAGGATAGGTATGTTGAGATTCGTCTAGTCAACAATGACCGAGATATATAGGGCGAAGCTTCATCTACTCTGTAAGTCGACATCATCAACAACAAGTCGACAAATCATCACAACATAGCCATGACTCACTCTCTGAGCTGGCGAGCCTTCGTGGCTATTACCCTGACTGTTTCAGCTTCTGCATATCCCCATCAAACATACCCAAACCTCGTCCCACGTGCCGGATGCCCCATCCCTGACATCTGCACCTGGGGTAGTTGCACCAACACCACTATTGGTCTTGATCCCCGAAACTGTGGAAAGTTCGGGAACTCTTGTGAACCTTCAGAGATCTGCATTGCCGGCCAATGTCTCCCGCTTGATCTCGGTACAGACGATTGTCCTACCGCATGCAAGCCTGGTCAATTGTGCACCAACGGCGAGTGTGTCTCCATCGAGATCGCAGTCGATCCTCTTCGATGTGGAGAGGAATCCTGTGATCCTTCATCTCTCTGTATCAACGAACAATGCCAAAAACTCGAAATCGGCTCAGATCCCACGTCATGTGGTCCTTCTAATACGATATGCGACGCCGGAAGCTGGTGTCTGTACGATACCTGTATTCCTTTCATCCTCGGTACCAACGTTCAAGCCTGCGATGAGAAAACTTCATGTTCTCTTGGTACATCTTGCCAAGACGGATACTGTCGACAAGTTTTCCTTTCGACCAATATAAATAGCTGCGGAGATGCTTCGCAGAAATGCACTGCCGGTCAAGTCTGCGTCTCTGGGGAATGCCAGTCCCTTGATGACGAAGATATCAGTCAGGACTGCGATGGGCTCTGCAAGCCTGGCTCTTGGTGCTTGGCTGGTGAATGCGTGCCGATTAGTTTCTCGACAGATACTTCTCAGTGTGGCAGTAGCCCTGAACCATGTGGCAAGGGACAAGTATGCGTCTCAGGGCAGTGCATCAACAACCTGGTTCATCAGGAAAGCATCCCCAGGACGGCTTGTAGTCTTTCTATGCGTCCAGGGGGATTTGTTTCTGGGCCAGGAGGATCTTCAGACCAGAACAACAACGGAGGCGGTCGAGAGGGTTCTACCAATGACGCCGCTTCGGGACAAGGGGGAGGCCAGCAAGGAGGAGACTCTACCTCGAACAACAACGGTTCTGGCAGCTTTCCTGGTGACGCTTCAGGCGGAGGTGGTCAGAATCAAGGCGGCCAAGGCGGTGACCAGGGCGGCTTCCCGGGCTCACGTCCAAGTTCCAACTCTGGCTCTGGTAACAACCAGGGTGGCACCGATAACTTTGGCGTTGGTCGTCCAGGTCCAGGCGAGGATGGTAAGGGATATCCATCTTCTGTGTGCGAGCCAGAGTGCGCATCAAACTTCATCTGCGTTAACGGAGAATGCCTTTCGGTTTCGGACCCCTTATCCTGCGGACCCTCCACCAACCTCAATCGCCTATTCCATCGGCAAAACGCTGTATGTCCACCAGGTTATGCCTGTATCGACGACCGCTGCGTTCGAGTAGATGGACCTATTAGCTGCGGTGGCTCTATCTGCCCGGCCAACTATGCCTGTATCCAGGAAGCGTGCGTCCCTCTTGGAGATCCCACCGACTGCGGTGGTGAGACGTGTGCCAGTGATGAGATCTGCTTGGGTAATACCTGTGTATCGAACCCGGCATTGGCTAGCTGTGTTGGTGTCGTTTGCCCTCCCGGACAGGTATGCCAGAACGGAGACTGTGTCGCCGCCGGTGGCTCCCCTGGTGCAAACGGCAATCCTCAGGGTAATGGCGGTAGACCCGGCGGTGGCTCTGGGAACGGCGGTTCTAATGGAGGAGACAACGGTGAAGGTACTGGAGGATCCGGCAACGGTGGATCCGGTGGCGGTTCCAACGGAGGAGGCAACGGAGGAGGCAACGGAGGAGGCAACGGTGCCTCTCCTGGCGATGGCTCAGGCAATGGAGGATCTGGCAATGGAGGTTCTGGCAATGGAGGCTCCGGCAACGGTGGCAGTGGCGGTGGATCCAATGGGGGATCACCAGGCGGCAACGGTGGTTCTCCAGGTAATGGCTCCGACGGACCAGACAGCGGCAACCCGGAAGGGAACGGTGGCCGCCCTGGTCCGGATCTTGGTGGCGACGGCTCTTCTACTGGCAACGGTGGAGGAAATGGCGGTGGTGCTGTAACCTCACCACCCGCAGGTACCGCTACCCGCTCGGGAGCTGGTAATCTCCCAGGTTCGACAGCAGCCAGTGCCGACGCTAGTGACGACGCGCCTATCGTCAACCCTGGCCCTGGCACGACTGGCACAGACGGACTCTCAGCTTCAACTACCAGCATTCGAGGTCGCCCTGATGGCAATGGAGGATCATCCGCTTCAGGTGACGGTGGTGGCGATTCTCCTACCTTAGCCTCGACTGGAGCGGCGGAGACCGGTGCTGCTACATCTGATGCAGGACCTATCGTGGACCCTGGATCTGATTCAACAGACCTTTCGGGTGCCAGCACGAGAGTAACAGGTGGTGCAGAAGGCGGCGGAGGCTCTGAGATTACGCTCAGCGGAACTGCTTTGCCCACTGACACCAGCGGGGAGTCTCCTACCGACGGCGGTAGCTCCGCGGCCGGAGGTGTCGGTACCGATACGACAGACATTGACAACCCCGGTGCACCTAGTACCGACGGAAGTGGTATTTCGGCTTCTGAGACTGGTGCCACTGGTACCGATGTCGATGGACAGACAGAGACAGCCTCCACTACTCAAGCCGCAACGGCTGCGCCAACGCAAACTACACCATGCTCCACAGACGATGATTGCCTTCTCAATGTCGCTCTCTGCGTTTTCAATGGCCTCAATATCTGTACTTGCGTAGACGGAGTCTGCGGGCAGCAGCCCGGAGGTCCTGAAGGTACAGGAGTCACCGGCTCTGACCTCGGAACCTCAACAGGAGGTAATGGAGAGCCAACTGATAGTGCTGGGTCGACAGTCACAGATGGCAATGGAGAGACAACTACAGCAACAACCGGAGATCCAGCTGCAACATCGGCAGTATCGTGTTCGACAGACGCTGACTGTTTAGCCGACCTCGGCCTCTGTGTCGATGGCTTGATCAACCTATGCATCTGCGTTGATTCCATTTGTATTCTCGATCCTACGCTAGCTTCGACCACAGATGCCAACAACGGACAGACGACCACCGTCCAGGATGCTACTACCACTGACGCAGAAGCAGCCGCAACGTCGTCAGCTGTCGCCTGTACTACAGACGCTGACTGTTTAGCCGATCTTGGCCTCTGCGTCGATGGCCTCATTAATCTATGCATCTGCGTAGACGCCATCTGCATCGTTGATCCAGCGTTAGCCACGACATCTGGTCTTGAGAATGGACAGACGACTACAGGCGCTGGTGCTACGACCACAGAGGAAGCACCAGCAGCGACGTCGTCAGCAGTGGCCTGTGCTTCAGATGATGACTGCTTGGTTGATGTTGGCCTTTGCGTGGACGGTCTACTCAATCTATGCGTTTGCGTAGACGCTGTCTGCATTCTTGACCCAGCGTTAGCCACTACTACCGCCGATGGTACAGTCACAGCGACACAGCCAGCTCCAACAGAGACAACTGCCGTTGCTTGCACCACATCCGATGACTGCAGTGTCAATGTTGACCTCTGCATCATTGGAGGGCTCAATCTTTGTGTCTGCCTCAACGGAGTCTGCGTTGCCGACCCGAACGGTGAGGAAACAACCGCTGCGAACCCTACTGCGACGAACACTGGACCAGGAGCTACTTCAACTGCAGTAGCATGCTCTACAGCTGATGACTGCGCTGTCGATGCGGACCTATGCCTTGACGGATTGATCAACCTTTGCGTCTGTCTCAATGCCGTCTGCGTTAATCCTGGAGGAGGCAACGATCAGACAACCACAGAGACGGGCGCGGGATCAGGACCTACCACAGCACCGGTGTCCTGCTCTACGGCTGATGACTGTGTAGCTGATGCTGATCTATGCTTAGACGGTCTGCTGAACCTTTGTGTCTGCCTCAACGCTGTCTGCGTCGTAGCAAACCCTGGGGGTGATCCGACTGAAACAACTGAGCTGCCACCTGCAAACACTAGAACTCCATGCGCCACAAACGGTGACTGCACAGCTAACGCGGCACTCTGTCTAGACGGGTTGATCAATATTTGCGTTTGCCTCGAAGGTTTATGTATCATCAACCCTGTTGTGAATCCCACAGAAACGACCGCTCCTGCACCAACAGAGACTGCTACAACTTCGTGCAACACCGCCGATGACTGTACCGCGAATGCTGGTCTTTGCTTAGACGGGCTTCTGAACCTTTGCCTCTGTGTCAACGCAGTTTGTATACGATCACCAGGTGGCGGTGGTAACAATGGCGACCCCTGCACTGACGACCCTGACTGTACTGCTGCTGGAGCTGTATGCCTCGAGAGTGGTGTTTGTGGACCTGACCCAGGAAACACACCAACTTCCTGTACTACAGCCGACGACTGCACTGCCAACGCTGCTCTCTGTTTGGATGGTCTGCTGAACCTCTGCGTTTGTCTCAATGCGGTCTGCGTACAGGCTGGCAACGGCGGCGGGGACGGTGATGCTTGTACAGATGATACCGACTGTACTACCGCTGGGTCTGTCTGTCTTGAGAGCGGCGTCTGCGGACCTGATCCA